TTTTTTTTTGTTTTCTAAGTTAGTTTAATTTTTTTTTTCCGCCCCCCCCCCCCCCTCTAACCCCCCAAAAATCATTTAATTTTTTTTTTTTTTTTTTTTTTTTTTTTTTTTTTTTTTTTTTTTTATATTTTTTTTTTTTTTTTTTTTTTTTTTTTTTTTTTTTTTTAAAATTTTTTTTTTTTTTTTAAAATTTATTTTAATAAAAAATTTTTTTAATTTTAAAATTTTTTTTTTTTTTTTCCCCCCCCCCCCTTTTTTTTTTTTGTTTTTTATTTTTGGGGGGACCCCCCCCCCTCTTTTCTTTTTTTTTTTTGGGGGGGGTGTTTTTTAGTGGGGGGGCAAACCCCCCTATTTTGTTTTTTCTTTTTTTTAAATTGGATCTAAGAACTAAGATTTAAATTTAAGTGATACAACTATATATAATCATTAAAAAAAAAAAAAAATTAACAAAAAAAAAAAAAAAAAAACGGATACAAATTATCATTACTATCATTTACCTCAAGTCAATCTCAAATTAAATAAATATACTAATAATAATCGGATAATCAAATAATTATTATGGTTATTTTAAAGCATCTTGTATAGCTTTGACATAATTTAAATTTAAAATATTTAAAACAAAATAATTTTGATTTTTCTAAAAAAAAAGCATGGCCATGTAAATTTCAGGTCATGCATAACCTGTATCGTTTTTTCATGAAATACCCTTTTCAACCATGTCAAATTTACCTGATCTTAAATAATGTAAAATCGATCTACTTTTCATATCGATTAACATTAATTATCGTAAAAAAGAATTTTCAAATATCAATACAAAAAGATAAAATTATGTTGCTACACTCTGACCATATATTTTATCAGTGCATCATCAAAGCCCAGTTTTCATTGAATTATTTCTAATTTTTCAGAGGGACCCATGGCCCATGACCAGCCCACCTATGCCAGTGTGCCCGGCATTCGAGTGTTCGGCATGATGTGTGTGAAGCCGGGCTACTCGGTGAGGAAGCCCAGCAACCAGCCGCCCAAGAGGTACCAACTGCAGAAGCCCTTCTATCGCCCCTCCGTGGGAACCACTTTGGGCGGTGGTGGAGGTGTCGGCGGTGGTCAGAAGGATAGCTACGGCAGACCGATCTATGGCGGTGGCAGCTCCTCGGGCAGCTCGGCCATCAGTTCGAACTACCAGCCGCAGGATCAGAGCTTCCAGAGCGGCGGCAGCAGCTCGTATCAGTACCTCAACCGACCGGAGAGCAGTGGAAACAGTCACAGCTCCGCCAACTTCCGACCGGATCAGTTCTCGATCAACAATTTCCCGGGCAGCAACTATGGACGCAACAACGAGAGGCGTGGCGATTTGCCGCCCATCGAGGCTATTTCGAGTGGATCGGGAACCGGGGGAACCGAGGAGCAGCCGGGCAGCAGTACTCCGGCGGTTGAGGAGGAGGCGGCGGCCAGGACAACTCTGCAGGCGGAACAGGAAGCGGCGGCGGCGGAACCGGTGGCTCCAGTTGCGGCGGAGCTGACCACCACGGCGGCGGAGGAGGATGGGGCTACCGAGAGCCGTGCCCGGCGATCCCTGGCCGAAACGGACGACTACGAGCCGGAATTCCCGTGGGATCGCGTCCTCGAGTTCCAGCAGAGCATCATTTGGGACTGAGTTCCGGTTCCGGGAAAATCCTACCTACCAACCAATCCTAGTAGATACAATTTCAATAGCACAAGGCGACTATATATGAAATGTGCAAGAAAACAACTGTGACTGAAGGTATAACGATGAGCACGGAACGGAAGAGAATGGCTTCGAGAAAGCATTAAGTTCACGTCACGTAACGTCTAGCGTAGCGTAACGTAATTAGCTAAGCTTTTCTTAATTTAAAATTTACAAGTTTTTAGGCATTTCCCTTGGCATTTCTTCCCAGTGTACCTCCTTCTCCTAACTTATATATTTATACATACATGTATTTATTTACAAAACAATTTACGAATTAATTAAACAATTACACGTGCCCGGGCGCGATCGCACTAATTGTTTAATTAATTTGTTTTGCATTTAAGCGTAAACAAGGCCTCAACTTTTTAAAATAATATTTAAAGATTTAAACGAATAGTTTAGGTGCAAAAGCTGGAAACTATTTTAAAAGGAAACACACACGTAAACGAAAAAGAGAATAATTAAATACAAAAAACCAACACCGAAATTATTTAACCTAAATTTAGTTGCTTATTTATGTTTAGACCTAAGCTGCATTTACTAGTAGTTAAATAAAATACTATTTTAAAAATATTTTTGGAACCACTTATTATTTTGGAGGTTGGGTCAAGAAAAATCGTAAAATGTAAGTACAACCTACAGCCCTATTAAATTTTGGAAGGGAATTTTACGGAAAATTATAAATAAATATTACAAAGTATTATAAGGTTCGGAATAAGCTTTTTGAAAATTTATCCGAATATCATCCAAAATGTATTAACAGATTAGAAATATTAAACTCAAGCAACTCAAGAACTCATTTGAAATTGTTGAAAAAAATTGTTAGACCTTTCAGAAAATATTTTTCAAATAAATCATATTTTTTATATACCTACATATTTAAATTCAAGCCACTCACCTAACATTTCTGCATTGACCACAATACTGCAGCTATACATGGGCGTGACTAATCTTTGAGCCTGATTCTGGAAGGCCTGTCGACAAACCTCCTTGGCAGCAGTCAAAACCTGACCTGGAAATTGGCAGTTAATAATATTTTTGATAGGATAATATAATCAACCTACCCGAAAAGGGACCACGTGAGTTCAAGTCCTCTCCCTCCGTTTGAATGGACCACTCGAGAACCGCAAAACAAACGCCTTGCATGGGCTCCTCGCACAAAGGACCCGCCACGGAGGTCAGTTGGAATCCATTCACCAGAGAGCTATTGAAATCCTTGCGCGGATCTGACTTGGAACGAACATCTGTATCGGATTTGGCATGACTTGACCAGAAGTCGGGCTGCTCGTAATCGCTAAGGTTGAGCAGAATGTTGGTGCCGCAATTGCGGGGACCCAATGCCCAGATTCGATTGACCAGCTCTTCGGTGGATAGGTTACTCAGTCCAAACAGCTGCAGATCCTGCAGAGCGGCAATCAGTTTTACTTTTAAGCTGGCCAGCAGGGTGGTCCACTTTTCCGAGAGCACTTGATTCCGCGGAATGGCAGCCAGTTCCTAGGGAATAAATAAATTAGTTAATTAAATATATCATTTTACATCAAAATACCCGTCACTCAGCTAAAGGGAGTGCGAGGGAGATGGATATATAAAATGTTGATTGCGCATAACTTTTTAATAAATGGTCCGATTTGAAAAATGTCTTCTACTTTTCGATAAATATAAATATACACAACAAAACTGCATTTCTCGGGAATCTTTAAAGGTGTGGGCGCCAGACACATTTTAAAATCATTAGTAGGCGATTGTGGGCGTTAGAGGGGGCGTGGCGATCAGCTGAAATAAACTTGCGCTGCGTAGGAAGCCCAAGAATATGTGTGAGAAATCTCAAACTTCTAGCTTTTGTAGTTTCCGAGATCTTAGCGTTTTCAGACAGACATACGGGTACAACTATTTATTACCTTGAAGAATTCCGAATGCTTCTCAAGCAATTCCACAGCTTCTGCCGGCAGGGGCACCGCAATGACCTTCAGGGTGCCCAACTTGTTGAGCGTCTGCTGGATGGCAATCTTCTTGCTCACATCCTTGTCCTCCGCCGTCTTGACAATAGCCTCGTTCACCATGTCCACCGTGGCAGCGGGCACAATGGTTTCCCTAAACGAAACAATCGGCTTGGAAACGTTCACCTTGATCTTCGCGTAGCTCTGCTCCAAATCGTGGACACACTTTTCCACATGCACCTCGCCCAAGGTGGTGATCACATGCTCGCCCGTCGAAGCCACCGAAACCTGGACACAGGCATCCGCTTGATTTAGCAGCTTCAATCCCTTGACCAATTTGGGCATATCCTGCGGCTGAACGGGTTCGATGGCCACGCGGAGAATCGGAGTGGCCATGATGCTTAGTTCGCTGAAGGAGGTGCAGTCCAGGCTGCTGCTCAAGGTGGCGGTTTTAAGGATATGCGATTCCAGGCCACCGATTCCCACGATATTTCCCGCAGGCACTTCATCCAGCAGCTGCAGTTCGCCGCCCATGAACATGTAAAGATCTCCGATGGTCACGCGACTGGCGTAGGGCGCTTGATCCTCCTGGCGATGCGTCGGCTGGCGAGGATCGTGCTTGGGCGAGAGATTAAACAGCTGCATGCCGCGCTTCAAAGTGCCGCTAAAAACTCGGGCAAAGGCTATGAAAACGAATTCCGCTTCCTCTGGTGAGAATTCTTCTGTTTTAGGCACCTCCACCTGGGTGCTCAGCTGCTCCACGCCCTGGCTGAGCTTCTCCAGCTCCGTCTGCTCGCTCTGCAGCTTCCTCTCCTCGATCCGCCGACGCACATCATCCCTGCGCTGCTGCACCTCCTCTTCCGTCAGCCTTTTCGGTCGATTCTGTGGCAAATGCGATATGTGCACTGGCGTCATTTTGGACACAAAGGCAATGACATTCGAACTATCCGCATCGCAACTGATGAAGCTCTCCTTAAGCTGAAGGGTTTCCTTGGGCAGCGAACTCAAATCCACATTTGCTGGATAGAGCAAACGCTGCGCCCTCTCCTCGCTGATTTTGTGCGGCGGCGGCACATGCTCGACTACCATGTGCAGGACACTCCTGTCGATGGGTAGCCATTGCCCCAGAACAGCCTTGATCTGCAGCTTGGGATCGGTGAGACGCAGATCCCGGGCGGCCAGTTTAAGACCCAGTTTTTCGGCTATTCCAGGGAGCTTATCCTTATCCTTTCTAATAGCTATGATGTCGTACAGGCTCCAAATGTTCTCCAGCACGAACTGGACAAACATCGGCTTCTTGGCCTTCTCCTGGGCACCCGGCAAGGCTTCCTTCTTCTTTGAATTATAATAGTAGTCGCCCCAGAGGACCTGCTCCAAATCCCTGCGCTTCATCTCCAAACGCTTGGCGTACATGGCGGCAAAGTCGCGAACGGAGAAGGCCCAGCCATCGTAGGCGGAGCAGAAGATGACGTTGCCCGAGGCGGGAGAGAAATACAGCTCCGAGTCGTCCACTTCCTCCAGCGCCGACTCGTAGTTGTCTTTCTTGGTGATATCCTCCCTAGCTAAGATATCAGAGGCAAAAATGCTGCCCAAAACGGCATTGACTTGCTCCAGGACCTGGGTTAAATGGAAGTAGGCGTCGAGGGGTTCCATCTGCTTCTCGAGGATCAGGCGATCCAGTTTGTTGAGCACCAAGACGGGTTTCAGTTGCTCCTCGTAGATTTGCTTCAGGCAGGCTCGCGTTTGGGGACCCACGCCCTCCACCACATCCACCACGACAATGGCGCCGTCACACAGACGCACCGCCGTGGAAACCTCGCTGGAGAAGTCCACGTGACCCGGGGAATCGATGAGATTGATGAGATAGTCCGGATTACCGGCCATTTCCTCCGCCTCCTGGTAGTACAAAGAGATGCTGCTGCTCTTCATCGTGATGCCGCGCTCCTGTTCATCCGCCCGGTTGTCCAGGTAGCGCAGCTTGCCCGCCATCCGCTGCGAAATGATGCCATTGCTGGCCACCAGTGCGTCCGCCAGCGTCGTCTTTCCATGGTCCACATGCGCCAAAATGCAGATGTTGCGCACCTGTTGACGACGGCGCTGCAGCTGGACCAGATCGCTGCCCTCAACCACGGGCATCGTTAGTTCTCTACGTTCCTTCCGATTGGCAGTGCTTTATAAATTTCAACTGGGAATTTCGCCAATTGGTCAAATCGTATTTATAAACAAACCGCACGCGGCAATTTCGCAATTAGGGTGACCAGCCGCAGAAACTTTCAAATTAACAGGTGGCTAACAGAGCATATGTTAGGGCACTGTTAAGTGTGCTGGCAGTCTAGCTTTTTTATCGACAAATTGAGCTGCTATTTTAGAAAAGAATTTGTTTAAAAAAATCAATGAACTTATAGTGCTTTTGCCGAAAAAAATATAAAGTTATTTGAAATTTGCAATCACTTTGTAACGAGATAAATTATCAAATATACCAAATACCAAATTTCCCCCCAAAATCGTCACAGAAACCGTTTGAGTAAATTAAGTAGGTACACAATTTAAAACCAACCGAATTGTAGGTCTTGAAGAAAATGTTCCTAAAATCAGAGCAAATATGACACCTACGGTTTTGATGGGTTGTTTTCCAAACCAACCGTACCCAAATCCGTCGCCGGTTTCTGTGACACTCCTGATACATAAATTAAGATAATAAATAAATGGCCCATAGTTTTAGCTTTTACATTTTTACATTTAACATTTAGTACGACAGCACTGCTGTTAAGTAGCGCTGTTAGCTGCCACTGTTAAGTCCAAAACAGCTGATCACCACGCATGCATTTCAGCTCTTCCTCTTTCCCCGCAACAATTTCGTGATTTCGCACGCGAAAGTCTCATAAAAATTGCTGAAAAATGGTCGGAATAACGCCCGCAGAGAAGAAAACGCTGATAACGCGCAATCTGCAAGAGACGCTGGGCGATGACAAGCTCACCAAGATCCTGGCCGAGCGGGATCTGAAGATCTACTGGGGAACGGCGACGACGGGCAAGCCACATGTCGCCTACTTTGTGCCCATGTCGAAGATTGCCGACTTTTTGAAGGCGGGATGCGAGGTCACCATTCTGTTTGCCGATCTCCATGCCTATCTGGACAACATGAAGGCCCCCTGGTCCCTCCTGGAGCTGCGCACCCAGTACTACGAGCAGGTGATCAAGGCCATGTTGAGTTCCATTGGCGTTCCGCTGGAGAAGCTGAAGTTTGTCAAGGGCAGCGACTATCAGTTGTCCAAGGAGTACACCCTGGATGTCTACAAACTGAGCTCGGTGGTCACGCAGCACGATGCCAAGAAGGCGGGCGCCGAGGTGGTCAAACAGGTGGAGTATCCACTGCTCTCCGGGTTGCTCTATCCCGGTCTGCAGGCTCTGGACGAGGAGTACCTCAAGGTGGACGCCCAGTTCGGTGGCGTCGATCAGCGCAAGATCTTCACCTTCTCGGAGAAGTACCTGCCGCAGTTGGGCTACGAGAAGCGCATCCACTTCATGAATCCCATGGGTGAGTCTTTAAATTTGCTATAGAAAATAGTGAGCTGCATAAATGGATTCAATGAATTTTCTAAATTTTTTGTTTTATATGAATGAATTAATTCGAATTTATTTATTTAAATTTGATTTCTTAAGTTTCCTGGAATTGAATGTACAAAGGATTTCCTTAATAATTTAATGCACAATATTAAGATTTATGCAAATACATATATGTAGGTCCTTACTTATATTAGAGTTTTACACTTAAATCTAACATATTAATAAAAATTATATCAATTAAAATTGAGAGTTTAAATAATTGTTGAGTTTAATAGAATTTTGAGTTTAATAGAATTGAATGAATTTGAATGTTGAGTTTAATAGAATTGAATAAATGAATGGCATGAATTCCAAAATAATTCAAATGACAGTTTCTTTTGAAGAAGAAAGGGACATAATTTTGTGTTTAAATCTGCCTGAATTTTATTTAATAAGCAGTTAACATTGATTTGTTAAAAATGTTCCACTTTTTAATCTCAAAAAGAAAGCACAAAAAAAAATTTGGCAAATTCGAAAAATTCATAAAAATTATTCATTCACTCATTCAATTCGAAATGAATTAGAAAAACTTTCAATTTATTTCACATAGAATTGAATTAAACAAATCAGAAATTTCTTGGCATACTATGATAAAAGAGGGCTCTAATAGAAAACTATCAATTAATAGCTTCATTTATTTTTTAGTTCCTGGTCTGGCTGGCGGCAAGATGTCCTCGTCCGAGGAGGACTCCAAGATCGATCTGCTGGACTCGCCGGCCAACGTGAAGAAGAAGCTGAAGAAGGCCTTCTGTGAGCCCGGAAATATCGCCGACAACGGCCTGCTGTCCTTCGTCAAACACGTCCTCTTCTCGCTTTTTAAAGAGGGCGAGGGGTTCGAGGTCAACCGCGCGGCGGAGCACGGTGGCGATGCTACCTTCCTGAAGTACGAGGATCTGGAGAAGTACTATGCGGAGGACAAACTGCATCCGGGTGATCTGAAGGCCACCGTGGAGAAGTACATCAATCGACTGCTGGATCCCATTCGCAAGGCCTTCGAGAAGCCAGAACTGCAGTGAGTAATTATTAGATGATTTCTACTAGGAGCAATAATACATTTGTTTATTTTCTTTTAGAAAACTGAGTGCTGCTGCCTATCCGCCACCGGCTAAAGTAAAAGCTGGCGCTGCTCCGGCTGCTGGAGCAGATGAAGATGCCCCCCATCGTCTGGATATTCGCGTGGGCAAGGTTGTGGAGGTGGCCCGTCACCCAGATGCCGATACCCTGTATGTGCTGAAGATTGACCTGGCTGAGGAGCAGCCCAGAACGATTATCAGTGGCCTGGTGAAGTTTGTCACCCAGGAGGAGCTGGAGCAGCGACTGGTCGCCGTGCTGTGCAACCTAAAGCCCTCCAAGATGCGCGGCATTCTGTCCGAGGGCATGGTTTTGTGCACCTCAAAGTGGGTTTTTATTTATGAGCTTCTTGTTAACTATTTGAATGTATTTATGAACAATATTTTTTAGCGCTGATCACACGGTTGTGGAGCCTATTGTGCTGCCAGCGACTGCTACTCCTGGCAGCCGCCTCTCCTTCGAGGGATTCAGTGGAACGCCCGACGAGCAGCTCAATCCCAAGAAGAAGGTGTGGGAGAAGCTCTCCGCGGACTTTAAGACCAACAGCGATGGACTGGCCGTGTGGAAGGACAACTTCCTGCTGACCCCCGAGGGCGAGAAGCTGTCCAGCAAGCTGGCCAACTGCTCTATCAAATAGAACTTCGAGTGCCAGCCTACCTGAGCCGTGTAATACTTACAACTAAGCCGAATGTTCACAAAAAGAAACCGCTGCTAATTTATTGATTCCCTTGTAATAAAAATGCATTTTGTTAAATAAAGAGCTCAAAAATAAATGTGTTTTCTAGATTTTATTTGTATTTAAAGGTTAAAATATTGAAAAGCATATTTCTGACAACTAATTAAAAAAATTTTTATTAATTAGCTGAAGAATATTTGGAAAAGTTCATTAATTTTTTTATTGATCCTAGTTTATCCTTATATTTATAGGTTGAAATATTTAAAAACATATTTCTGACAATTACTAATAAGCATTTTAAATAATTAGCTGAAGAATATTTGAAAAAGTTCATTAATTTTGTATCTTGTAGGAGCGTTCAAAAATATATATGTTGTTTGGTTTATATTTATATTTAAAGGTGAAATCGTGAAAAACATATTTCTGGCAACTAGGTTACAGGCAAAATACAATTTTTATTAATTAACAGAACCGCCATTAATTTTTATCTTGTAGGTGCCTTCGTCACTAGTTATATTTTTACCTATCTCCATAAAAGACATCGCTGTTAAGTCTCTGTTAACTTTTACAGCGAGTTAACAGCCTTATTTTCGATCAGCTGTTTGATGTAAACAAAAGCCGGCTGAAGGAATTTATTTCTCCTAATCCTTTAAAGAAATGTTGAGAATAAACCGACGATTCCCGTTGCTGCAGTGCCTGCGCCACGCCCACAACCAGGTGCGCGTCCGCTTCGCCCCCAGTCCCACGGGTCACCTGCATTTGGGCGGACTTCGCACAGCTTTGTACAATTTCCTGTACGCCAGGCATTTGGGCGGAAAATTCCTGCTCCGAATCGAGGACACGGATCAGACGCGACTGGTGCCGGGTGCCAGCGAACGCCTGGTGGAGGATCTCCTCTGGGCGGGCATAGAAATCGACGAGGGACCCGGTTTCGGGGGTCAACTGGGGCCCTATGTGCAAAGTGAAAGGAAGCTGATTTACAGGTGAATAAATGGATGAATCCTGAAGGAGATTTCGATTATATGAATCTACTTTTCTTCCCAGTAAAGCTATAGATGAACTTCTCCAGAATGGCACCGCCTACCGGTGTTTTTGCACCGAACGCCGGCTGGATTTGTTGCGTAAGGAGGCGCTGAGAACGCGGCAAGTTCCGCGCTACGATAACAAGTGCCGGCATCTTACTGAAAAGGAAGTCGACTCGCTCCTGGTCAAGGGAACGCCCCACTGCATCCGATTCAAGCTGACGGATCACGAGGAACCACTGGAGGATCTCATTTACGGCCGGGTGCATCACAATGTCAGCGATACCGAAGGCGATCCGGTGGTCATGAAAAGCGATCAGTTTCCCACATATCACTTTGCCAACGTGGTGGACGACCACCTGATGGGCATCACCCATGTCCTGAGGGGCGTCGAGTGGCAGATATCCACCACCAAGCATTTGCTGCTCTACAAGTGGGTTTTGTTTTGATTTACCCTTGTTTTCTGATCTAAAAACTGTTTATTTCTTTAGAGCTTTTGGCTGGCAACCTCCTAAATTTGGTCACCTGCCGCTTCTCGTCAACGCAGATGGCACCAAGCTTAGCAAACGCCAAGGAGACATTGGTATCCAGAATTTCCGGGAGCGGGGATTCTTCCCTCAAGCTCTGGTTAACTATGTGGTTTCCGCGGGCGGAGGATTCGATCATAAAGCCAATGCCAAGCTGCAGTTGCTCAGCATGGAGGAACTCTACGAGAAGTTTCAGATAGAGCGGGTGAATTCGCATCCCAGTCGCCTGAATCCCGAGCTGCTGGAAGATTTCAATCGCCTGGAGTTGGCTCAGCGTTTGTTGGGTAAAGAAAGCCGCTTGAAATTGGTCAAGCAAGTCCAGGAGCTGGTGAAGAAGACCTATCCACAGCAGTGAGTTTTTAAGTGAATTAACCGAAAGAATAACTTTTAAACCCTGTAATATTTTAGCTCCAACTTGGATCTGGCTGAGGACCACATAGCGGATGTGCTGAATTGGTCTTCACAACGCTTAACTCTGCTCCAAGATTTGACCAGCAGCAAGTTGAGTTTCCTGTGGGTAAAGCCTTCGGATTTCCAACTGAAGGACCTCACAGCCCATCAATTAAATAACATGCTGAAGTTACTCAGATCCCTAGAAGACTTTCACAAAGATAAACTCAACACTGAGCTAAAGAACTTTGCTCAAAGAGAGAACATAAAATTCCCACAAATGATGAAAACACTAAGAGCAGCTTTAAGTGGTCTAAAAGAAGGTCCTGGCGTGGCGGAAATGATGGAGATCCTGGGCCAAACGGTCACCCTCGAACGACTCCAAGAAGCTCTACCAAAGGAAAAACTCCCCTTAAAACAAAACCAATAATTCGGTTAGGTTTTGTTGTATTTGTATATATATTACGAATAGATTAGTTTTTATATTGATAACTGTTGCAATTTGAGAATAAGATCAATGAGTAGACACCACAATAAGAGTCGAAATTAAGTATGATTAATCTTCATCAGTTTCGGAAACTATTTTCCTCTACGTTCCATTTTGGCATTCTCTTTTTGCTCCGGTAAGCACCATTCCTAGACAATAATACACACTACTAATCGCTTAACTAAAGTCGCGATTGGTGAGGATAATGGGAGCAGCAAGGCTCCAGCCGTAGATGAAGACACCCAGCCAGCTGGAAACGATCTTGACCCACATGGAAGCCTCGTTGCCGTTGAAGAGCTCGATTTCCGAGTGGGGTCTAAAGGGATAAAAGGGGAAATGTATTATAATATAATCATTAGACCTCGGATTTTGCATATTTTTATAGGATAAAAATAGATCAATTCCGAAAACACCAAAGTTCGTTTCAATAAAAATATAGTTTAAAATGAATGGCATATTTTATTTTTTTGCATATTTGCATAAAATATGCAAAATATATGCATAAAATATGTAAAATATAAAATAAACTCAACTATTCAAGATTTAGCATTTCATAGCCAAGCTAATTTACCCGAAAAAAATTGTTTGTTCTTTTTCGTCATTTCTGAAATATTTAATTTTTGCCCTGCTCGTTTAAATTACTCGCCGTGTTTACTGAGGGTTCCTTAGAATACCAGAAAATATTTTGCATATTTTATGCATATATTTTATGCATATATTTTTTGCATATATTTTGCATATTTCCAATATGCATCCGAATTTATTACATTTGAAAAATATGACACCTACCTAGAAATTTTAATAAAAATCGGGCCAAAAATGGACAAACATGCAAAATCCGAGGTAATAATAATCTATTAATTCTAAAGGCTTTCCACTCACTTGTACCAGTTGGTCAGAGTCATCATCACGTACAGCGAGGCGCAGACGAAGACCACGTGGAACATGGACCAGGAATAGTCGACGCCCTCGGTCTCAGTGTCCGAGTTGGGCTTTCCATTGGCATCCGTGCCGGCCTCTGTGTCTGATAGAGCTTCTGTTAAAACTACATTAATCAGGGTGCAAAGAGGAATGCCAGGTGGCCATATTTTTCACACAGTTTTCAAGTACCAAGTAACCGAGTGGATTAGTTGGGTTAGTGGGGAAAAAAATTAAAAGAAAAAATAAAGCGGTAATAGCAAACAAGTGTTAATAACCAGTATTAGCTTGGGGTTTCTTTGTTTATACAGCGAGGAAAATGATAAATGCGTGATGGAAACTGTGGTCATGGCGGCGAATGCGGACGAAGCACAGGGAAATGGAACATAGAACACCTACCACGCTTCTCGCTATTATCTTGGGTGATCTTCGAGACCTCCACCGCCGAACTGATGCAATTGTACAGGATGCACAGGAGCCAAACAACCAGTCCAATGATATTGGTGGTGTCGAAAGTAACCCGAGTGGTGTGGGTGGGTGGAGCCACGGTGGTTGTAGAATTGCCGAATCCCTCCATCATGCCAAACATTCCAGGATTGCATTCTTTTTCTGAAGGGGGATTAAAGAAATTAGTAAGATATATATATTTTTATGTATTTTTTCTACCCGGATTGTTGGCCACTGCGGACCAGGTGAGATAAACCGTGTATAGGGTAACCAAGGAGCTCTGCAACAAGCCCGAATGGGGCAAACGCTCCTGGACAGCCGGCAAAACCGAAATGACGCTGATCACCAGGCAGAAGATGAGATTAATGGAGATAAAGAACTTGTTGATGCCGCAGCCGGTGCTCTAAAAACACAGATATCAATTAAAAGGGCTTAAAAAGGCTTAGTAAAATCAACCCACAGTGGTAAAGTAGATATAGAGCATGGTAATTCCAGTCAGCGATAAGATATAGCCCACGAGAGTGACCCCAGCCAGGGCGTAATAGTAACCACGACTGTTTTCGGCGCTTTCTGAAAGGAGAAATTCCAAAATTAACCAGATAAATCATTAAAAAACCTGAGAAAATCATGACTCACCTATCCAGTTCTCCGCCAGCGAGTGAGCGAAATCCACAATGATGACCAGCTGAACGAGTATGAAGGCCAGGCCACCAATTAGACCCACCCACATCATGGCAGGGCCAAAGGATCCATCGGGTATGAAGATGGCTCCAATTGCAGCGCCAAAACAGATCAGGAATTTCAGGGGCCAAAAGTTGTTCTGGATGTGGGAACGCGGATCCCTCGAGCTCTTCACACCCAGCATAATCAAGGACATGAGGGCGAAAAAGCAGGCCATTCCAAAGCAGATTCTATAGACAGCCATATAACCAAGAGCATATTCACAGTCGACTTGCAGAGATCCTCCCGAAACGGCGCTCAGTGCCCCAGAACTGTAAGACGAGGTGGAATTGATGCAGAAGGGCATCTTCTTCAGGGTGTCCTGGAGTCCGGGGGATAGGGCGATGGCGCCCAGAACAGTGCCCACCAGCAGGATGAAGGCGTACATGAAGCGCGACGAGGAGGCGTTGGTGCAACTGGGGCAGGCGGAGCAGCACATGCTGGCTGCAGTGCCTCCGCAGCACATGGCGCACTGGAAAGAAAGCAGAGTAGTGTTAAAAATATGGTATATGGATGGATTGATCATTCCTACATTAAATTCCTATTGGTAAAGACTAAGTTTAGCTTTTTTAAAAAAATTTATTAAAATAAAAGGATTCAACATAATGAATATTCAAATAACAGGATACAATCGATTATTCTAAATAACATAAAATTAAACAAAAACAAAAATTCTATAAAAATTCTAAATAAACTAAAATATAGTTAATAATAGTTTGTTTAAACATAATGAATCATATTAGAGTAGTGTTATTAAGATGGTATATGGGTGGATTTATCATTCCTACATTAAATTCATATTGGTAATATTTATATATTCAATATATATTCAATCGAATTCTATGTAAAAATATAAAAACAAACTAATAAATGGTTAATAAAAGTTTGTTTAATCACAATGAATCATATTGTCTTGAAAAATATCACTTGCAATCCCTATAAAAATGGAAATTATTAGATAGCTTAATTCGAAAATTATGGATACATGTTTTACAGGTTTGTAGAAATGTTCTATTAATCATCCTACGCAAAAACATAAAATCATAAATTTAAGAAAATAAGAAAGGAGCTCCCCCGCGATTGGGAAATTCCCAGAAACATATGGCTGCTCTTTATTGATTTGTAGCCAAGTAAAAATTTCGAATGGGGAAATACCCGGCTAAATGGTGGGTAATATGCAAACCATTTACTTACCTGAGCGGCCGAACAGAGGCCCAAAACGGCTCCCATTGTTGCAGAGATTTAAGTGGGTTCTTACTCTCGACTTATTGCGTTTTTATTAAATTAAACAAATCTTTGTTTGTGAAAATATATCTATCGAATGGTTCGTCACTCTCGATATCCGATACCTTTCAATATGGATTGAACTATCGAATAAAGCGATTGTTCCCAGCTGTGGCTTATCGGCAGACCTGTGAGAAAAGGTAAACAAAGCAAATTTAGCTGGATATAAACAATATTAAATCACAGGTAAGTGCCCACGTTAAGTTAATAAATTACAGCTTTTGTATTAAATGTACAATATCATTTTTAAGGTTCCAAACCAATGGAATCGCCTGTAAGCCTGCAGAATGCATTTATCAAGGAAGAAGTATCCGACAACGATTGTGAAGAATCCAGGAGAATTACGAGACAAGGAGAATTCCCAAAGAGACCCAGACGAATGCATAGTGAAGAACGAGCCACTTGAAGAAGACGAGTACGAGGAAGAACATTTTTTTGGCATTACAGAGGGCGACTTTGATCATTCCCATGACCAAGTGAAAATCGAGGAAACGGAAGATGAGTTCCTAGAAAGCAATGATGGGTCTGCTGATAATGAACTTGAGAGTCCGCTTAAATGCCCTCATTGTGGGAGGATCTGCAAAACAAAACACGGTCTTTCGCGACACTTGCTTTTCCACACGGAAGTGGAGCGTAAGTTCAAGTGTATCCACTGCCCAAAGTCGTTTTCAGAGGCTTGGACTCTTTCCGGACATATTCTCACCCACGAACGTCCGTTCCCGTGCTCCCAATGTCCACTATCTTTCGACGAAGACTCAAAACTTCAGGCACACCTGGAACATCACTTCAAGCAGTTCCAGTGTCCCCAGTGCTCACAAACATATAGAACAAAAGAAAGTCTTAAGGGACACTTGTTCCGAGTGCACTCAGTAGAACTGCCATTTAAGTGTTCCCACTGCCCAAGGACCTTTTGCATTCCTAGCCGACTAAAGGCACATCTCCGAACTCACACAGGGGAACGACCCTTCAAGTGCACCGAATGTGGGAAGACTTTTAAACGTCGTAACTGTTTAGAGGAACATCTAAGAGAGCATACCGGAGAACGGCCGTTCAAGTGTTCCCAGTGCTCACAGACATTTAGAAAAGCTCAAAGTCTTAGGCGACACCTAAAATCGCATAAAATATCCGACAAATAAATGAACAAATATCAATTACTTTTGAAAAAGTCTTCTAATAGACACAAAATATGAGGATAATTGGGCGGGTTGGTGATGGGTTTCCCATCAATATTTCCAAAGACTCAACGGCAAAACCTTACGGACCATCCGTTCAACGGATGTTTTTGTATTTGTTTGTGAAATTATCTATGGAATGGTTCGTCACTCTCGATATCCGATACATGTCGATATGTTTTAGCTATGGTTTATCGACAGACCTGTGAGAAAAGGTAAACAATGCAATTTTAGCTGCAATTTAGCCATTCTTTAATAAACTACAGTTTTGTATTAAATGTACATCATTTTTAGGTTCCAAACCAATGGACGCGCAAGTAAGCCTGCAGGATGCACCAAATGCATTTATAAAGGAAGAAGTATCGGACAACGACAGTGAAGAATCAAGAATTGAAGAAGGAGATGAAGATTTACGAGCCAAGGAGAATTACCAAAGAGACCCAGACGAATGCATAGTGAAGAACGAGCCACTTGAGGAAGACGAGTGCGAGGAAGAATATTTTAGTGATATTACAGAGGGCGACGTTGATCAGTCCCATGACGAAGTGAAAATCGAGGTAACAGAAGATGAGTTCCTGGAAAGTAATGATGGGTCAGCTAATAATGAAATTAAGAGTCCGCTTAAATGCACTCATTGTGGAAGGATCTGCAAAACAGAAGGGGGTCTTAAGTCACACTTGCATACCCACACGGAAGTGGAGCTTAAGTTCAAGTGTCCCCTCTGCCCAAGGTCGTTTGCAAAGGCTTCGAGTCTTTCCGGACATATGCTTATCCACAAACGACCTTTCCAGTGCTCCCAATGCTCACACTCTTTCGACGAGGACTCAAAACTTCAAGGTACACCAGGAAAATCATTTCAAGCAGTTCCAGTGTTCCCAGTGCTCAAAAAAATATACATCCAAAACAGCTCTTAGGACGCACTTAATGCAAGTGCACTTAAAAGAACTGCCATTTAAGTGTTCCCAGTGCCCAAAGGCCTTTAGCCTTCCTTGCAGACTTAAGGCACACCTTCAAATTCACACAGGGGAGCGACTCTTCAAGTGCGCCGAATGCGAGAAGACTTTTTTACGTCGCTACTGTTTGGAGGAACATCTAAGAGAGCATACCGGAGAACGACCCTTCAAGTGTTCCCAGTGCTCACAGACTTTTGTTCGATCTTACGACTTGAAGCTACACTTGGACGAGTGCGATATCAATGAGTCCCATGACAAAGCGAAAGTCGAGAGAACAGAAGGTAATGATGACATTGAGTCACCCCATGGGTCTGCTGATAATGAAATTAAGAGTCCGTTTAAATGCACTCATTGTGGGAAGATCTGTAAAACAAAAGGGAGTTATAAGTACCACTTGCAATCCCACACGGAAGTGATGGGTAAGTTCAAGTGTAACCTCTGCCAAAAGTCGTTTACAAACGCTTTGAGTCTTTCCGGACATATACTTGTCCACAAACGAGCCTTCCAGTGCTCCCAATGTCCACAATATTTCGTCACGGACACACAACTTCAGGTACACCTGAAAACACACGTCCAGGGGTTCCTGTGTCCCCAGTGCCCAAAGACATATACTTCAAGATCAGGTCTTTGGACGCACTTAAAGGATGTGCACACAGAACTTCCATTTAAGTGTTCCCACTGCCCAAAGGCCTATAGCATTCCTTGCAGACTGAAGGCACATCTCCGAACTCACACAGTGGAGCGACTCTTCAAGTGCTCCGAATGCGAGAAGACTTTTAAACGTCGTAACTGTTTTGAGGAACATCTAAGAGAGCATTACGGAGAACGAGCGTTCAAGTGTTCCCAGTGCTCAAAGACTTATATCACAGCTGCAAGCCTTAGGCGACACCTAAAATCGCACAAAATATCCGACCAATAAATAACAATTACTTTTGAAAAAGTATCCAATATATTTGAACTGAAATAAAACTGAAAGTATAAAATATATTTGAGTTTAATGAGAATTGGGCGGGTTAGTGATGGGTTGCCCATCGATATTTCTGGAGACTCATTTTCAATTTCAAACGATTGAGCACGGTTTTACTACGCAACGTCGTTACGTTTTGATTGAACTTACGTTTCGAGACACCAAAAATAGATACCCAACCGATAATCGGCCGCGATGATGATGGTAAAATTTATGGTAAAAATTACTACACAAAACGTCGTTCGACTGAGAAAATTCCTCTGAGAGATTTTACGTTTGATTACGTCGTTCTGACTTACGTTGGCAAAAACGGTGATGGCAACCCATGCGATAGTCGATAGAACATCGATATCGCCCGAGCTGAAGAAATCGATGTATCTGGACTCGGAAACCGCCCCCACGACCCGACAATCCGAATCCGAGAATCATTTCAAATTTTCAAACTCCCGAGAGCGGTTGCGGCGGTGTCGATACAGCGGCTCCTGAATCCATCCGAATCCGAACGAATCGCATCCAGCCAGATATCCTGCATTTGCCGTGGACTGAAACCCGAATCCGAGTTCGAATCGAAGCGCAGTGGTGGTTTCTCTCTCTCTTTGTCTATCTCCCTCTCTCTCGCTCTCGCGTGTGTGTATGTGTGCGAGTGGCAGGAAAAGTGCGAAGCCGAAATCTTTTTAGCTGAAAGAAAGAAAGCGCAACTTCAATTAGCAAAAGCAAGAGTAGTAGTAAAAGAAAAGTAGACGAAGAAAAACCGTAAAGAAAAAAAAAAAAAAACTAACAAATAATATAATGGCAAGCGAAGTGGCCCAAATACCTGCCGAGGAAACGCCCGCAGTGGCGGCGGCGGAAAAGCCAGAGGAGCCGGAAAAGCCAGCGGCCCAGCCAGCGGACTCGGCGGCGGCACCAGCTGCCGCCCCCGCAGTGGAGAAGGCGGAGGACTCGGAGGCCGCCGCCGACAAGAAGGACGAGGCCGTTAAGCAGGACAACGAGGAGCCCAAAAAGGAGGAGGCGGTGGCCGCCGCCGTGGCTGCCAAATCGGAAGCCCCGCCCGCCCAGAAATTCAATGTGCACAAGACCAACTTCGAGAAGGACATCATCTATCTGTACCAGTTTTCGCGCACCCCGCTGCTGCCCTCCTTATCGCCGTACTGCTTGAAGGTGGAGACCTGGCTGCGTCTGGTGGGCCTGAAATACGAGGTGAGTTAGCCCAGGAAAACTGAGAAAAATCCTCGGAAAATCCCAGGAAATCTTTAGGTAGCCTAGATCGCCGAAAAAACTTTAAAAAGAATCCCAAGAAAACCCCGAAAAACCAAAAACTCCCAGATATCCCAGATTTTCAAGGCATTTTTGCGGTACAGATTTTTTCCCAGCTCCTGCGGGAGAGGGAAGGCAAGAGGAAGAGCCCAGGAGAGAGCGAGCGAGAGAGCCAGCGCCGCCATCATGGTGTGCTAAGCCTGCCGCCTGTGCGTGCGTGTGTGTGTGTGACCTGCCCTGCCCCGTAACTGAAAAAGGGATACATTTAGCCTGCCCTCTCTTTCCCCCGCCCATGTGTGTGTGTGAACCTGTAGCCTGGTCCTGTGTGCGTGTGTTTGTGCACAGCGTATACATAAAATTTGTGTGTGCGCCGACGCCGACGCTGCGTCGCTGCTTTATGCTCCACTCTGGCCCCCTTGTTCACCCCTCCTCCCCCTCCCGGCTTGGCCCCCTTTGCAAAGGTCGTGCTTCAAATTTTGCACTTGCCGACTCTCTCTCCTTTTGTCTCGCTCCCTCTCTCGCCGTCTGCTCTTTGTCTTCTGTTGCTGCACTGTTTTTTATTTCACTTTTCTTTCGACTTCTTTTTGCACTGAAAAAAAATGTTAGTTATCTCGGGATGAAAAAATATCCCAGGATAATAATATAAAAATAGTATTTCACTACAAACAGTCTACAATATGCTGGCATATTCAACATTAATTTCTTAACAAAAGATAAAAACTTCCATTTAAGATCAATGTAGTTTTTTCTTCTGTGTACAGCAGCAGCACCAGCTTGTAATTGCTTTTAATAAAAATTGATGCAGTTTAAGATGGACTCGGGCTCTCCTCCCCTTTTCCCTTTCCTTTTCTTATCCGTTAAGTAGCTGTAATAGTGTGGGAGGGGGAGGCAGACAAACAACTGTCAACGACTTCTTCCAATGGTGCCTTCCATTTTAGCCTGCCTTTTTTGTTGTTTTCATATTATTATTATTATTTTTTCTTCACTTTTTAAAGCGCGCGATGCGGTTTGCATATTTTTCATACACTTACGAGTGGAAAAACTTGTAGAGAGGGAGAAATGGGTGCGGTCACCCGCACAAAAACTGGCGACGCAATTGCTGTTTAATCTTATTAATTACATTGGTTAATGAAAAACGAGCCCCTTGACGAGGAATGTTAATTGATGCCGATGCCGTTTTCCAGATGCCGATAAGCAATCGCCCCCATATGTTGCATTCCACGAAGGCGAGGAAGAGGGGGAAAAGGCAATTATGATTGACAGTAGTCCGTCAGTTGGGCCCGCAGCTGGAAATTACTTTCCATTTTCATTCCACTGATAAGAAGGCGGTCCGAAAAACACATACGAAAAAAAGAGTTCAACAAACTTGGAGACCTTTGACATTTCTGGTTTGTTGTTGCAGCGCGCATTAATCATAAAAAAGGGAGGGTGACTGTAAATGCAACTGACTAAGCCAGTTTTGCCCCCTCTCGTTTCTGCTTTTTTTTATACCCCCCCGCTGGTCGGCTGCATTTTTTCTTTTCCTCCTTTGTATACACACATTCATCAGTGTAAACAAGAGCAGAAGTTGTTTCTTTATTGATGATAAACCAAATGCATATTTTTTTCACACCACATTGAAGGCGGCGCCCATTAATAAACACAGCAACAACAACGATGCATAAGTTTCGCTTTTGAGGCGGTGGCCCGCATTGCTGGCATTCCTGAGTGTCGCGCTTGTAGATTGTGCAATTAATTTACATTTTCCCTGCCATATGCATTACTAAGAGCGCAAAACGATTAAAATTCAAATGGAAATGCTGGCGCGCCATTTCATTTGTGTCATATTGCCATATTGCCAGCCTGCTGCAATTTCAAGGTATTCTGGCAACGCCGCCGCCTCTCCTGCTGCAACTGTACATGTGCGAATGTGTGCGTGTGTGTGTTTGAGAGGAAATGGAGTTCTTTTTGTTTGTTGTATTTTCTCGTTTTTGTGATTTTTTTTGTATTGCCGCTGCCTTTGTTTTAATTAATAAACCGCATATTTGCATTAAAACAACACACAGTGGACGGCCTTTGTTGTTGCTCACTCGCTCCAGTGCAGTTCTCCCGCTCCGCTCTGCGCTCTCTTTGGAACTTTTGTGCAAGGGTGTGGATACACGCACACACACACGCGCAGGCTGCATAATTGCATTGCTGTTGCTTCTTCTTCTCGCCTGACTTTTTACACTGCAAAAAATGGATGATTGGGGAGGCGAAGCCGTTGCCTTAATTGGCATGATGATTTAATAAAAAACAGAAATATTTGCATTGTGCGTGGGCACACGAAGAAGAAGATGGAGATGGAGTCGGAGGCGAAGAAGAGGAAGCAAGCAGACAGGCTGCCGTTTTTGTGGATCATTGGAATTGAAAAATGGACTCCACCCTTTTTGCAGAGCGTTGCGATGCTGCCGCTGGAAGGCGAAAATCTCTCTACAACTACACCGCTCCTCTCTCTCCACTCTCTCTTTCCTTTCTCTCTCTCGGTCTCTCTGGCGGACAACCACACCCTGCCTCTCCCTTTTTTGGCAGAGGGCGGCGCGCGAAAGCATAAAATATGCCAACGGCTCGCTTTTTTGTTATGGCCCTCGTATTTCTAATTAGAAATTATTATGTAGATTTGTGCAGCCAAGCTGAAAATGAAAAGGTTCAAACCGGACACCCGCCGCCTATAACTGTCACATAGCTAACGGTACGCTTCGTGCGGACGTGTGTACACACTGGAAGGCATTGGAATATGTCAAATATTCGAATAGCGGGCAATTGGAACGACGTTTCCCTCCCGCTGTGTGTTAGTGTGTGTGCTTGTGCGTTCGTTCGCTTTATAGGGGTGTTGGTTTTTGGGTGGGTTTTTCGGTTTTCGAGTCTGGGTTTTGGGTTTTTGGGTTCCTGGGAGGTACAGCTAGCTTCTCGTGTAGTGGTTGGTTTTTCAGCATCTGCTTGGCATACATAGGAAATGCCCAAAATACACACGCAAACAAACGATTGCCGGCTAGATGTATGTCATGAGCGCCATCTAGCGGCCGGAATCCTTGCGGGGGAGTGAACTACATTTCGCATTAGTCATGGTTGTAAAAAAAACCAACTTCCCGGTTCCATATGGCCATCTCAAATTTATGAGTGTCCTCAACATGCTTGTTAGGAAAAATGGCATTGCTTCAAATTTTTAAAATTCTTTTCTGTCCGTTTTCATTTAGAGATACCAAAGAAAAATCGTTGTATCTATAAAATCTATTGATAGCTAGTTAAAAATGATTTTACAAAATATAAAGAGATATTTTTGATATTTTTAATAACCACATTAAAGCAAATTTAAATCTATATTCAAAATGAGGTTAAGATATTAGTTTCAATTAGTTTTTCGTTTTTAAGAGCAATCCCAATATCCATTGAATTTAAGTGGTATTTATGATATTGCTCATCCCAAATTGATGGCTATGCCTCGAATAAGAATTCTTGCGAAATTGGAATTACCGATTTAATGACCAAGTAAGGCAATATTTGTTCTCACTGCATAAAGTGGAATGCTGCCCAGCGATAAAGGGTGGGGCTAACAATCGCCCACTCCCCCACATTCCTCGCACGATTGCTCATCCCACGCAATTAAAAAAAATTAAATGTATCTTCATGTTCTTTCCCCTTTTTGCAGAATGTCGATCATAAGATGCGTTTCCGCTCCAAGAAGGGTCAGCTGCCGTTCATCGAGCTGAACGGGGAGGAGATTGCCGATTCGGCCATTATCATCAAGGAACTGTCGTCCAAGTACGAGAAGAACCTGGACTCGGGACTCACCGCCGAGCAGAGGAACGTGTCGTACGCCACGATTGCCATGCTGGAGAACCATCTCATCTGGATCATCTTCTACTGGCGCGCCAAGTATCCGGACAATGTGCTCAAGGGCTACAAGGTCAACTTGCAGCACGCCCTCGGCCTGCGGCTGCCCAACTCGATTCTGAACTTCTTCTTTAAGATCACCTTTGGTCGCAAGGTAACTACTGGATGGTTTGAGAAATTTGAAGGTCACGATTTTCACTTTCCCAGAACTTTGTATGATTTTTATTAGAATTTTCATTGGAACATTGCATACTTTTGGTCATTATTGTAATTAGTTCTACAGAGGTTTTTCGCTACCAATCATATAGTTAAATATCATCACATTTCTACTTGTAAAACTATTTTTCTTGTTGTTAAAAGTAATCTTTGCTTTTGGTGTATTACGAAGAACTAATATTTTGGTATACATTTTTATTTTTAATTGTACATTTTACAAAAACATTTTATACCTATCTATTAACTTTTAATCTACAATTTTTTACTAATGTAATAGATAGAGTTGGAGTTTCAATCGAATTTACAAGAAACCTTTACTGCAGACTGTACTTCCTAGTATTTATTTAAATCAAACAAAATGAGTGAAAGTGAAAACCGGAAGATGCCTGCTAGACAAAGTAGAGAAATATCGTTTTTCAACCTTAAAAAGTAGCTGATTTATTTGGTCTCGAAATATCACAACGCCAGCAGCTGAGCCCGCAGTAGTTCCCAAAAACCGAATATATCCGCACTTTGTTTAGATTGAAAGCGTAATCGAAAACTGTCGAGAGGTCCCAAGTTGGCTGGCGTTGTTGTGGAATTAGGCGGGGATGGATGGGTAGTGTAAATAAACAATACTTGAAAATTGAAACTAAGGCAGCGGTGGCGTATTATATTGCACCTAGCTATATGAAAAACAAAACTCCAAACACCACCACCATCCCCACCACACATAGTTTATCCCGAAGAAACGCCGTTGGCATAAACAATAAATTGTTTATATCTCGGTTCGGTTCTCACATAACAAAACGGGAAATCGAATGGAAAACAATCGTTATTTTACCACTAACTCTTGCATGGTTTTTCTCTTTTTTCTTTTTCGTTCTTTTTTGCATACTACTTTGGTTTTGAACATCTAACTGTGTAATGCGTATTGCCCCCGATCCCCAAAATAACTCACCAATAAAAATCACCTCCAAAACACCCCGATTCCGTAACGTATGCTTGTGCATCCCCCGTAACCCCCATCCGTAACTGCTGTACGGCAAAACAACTATTGAACACAACAAGTGGTTCCAGGGCACGAAGAAGCTGAAGGCGCATGGCATCGGCGTCCACAGCGCCGAGGAGATCGAGGAGTTCGGCAAGAACGACCTGAAGGTCCTCAGCGAGATGCTCGACTGCAAGCCGTTCTTCTTCGGCGACGAACCGACCACTTTGGATGTGGTGGCTTTCGCGGTCCTCTCGCAGCTCCACTATCTGTCCAAGGACATTGCGTATCCGCTGCGCGACTACATGACCGAGAAGTGCCCCAACTTGATTGGCCACGTTTCGCGCATGAAGGACAAGTGCTTCCCCGACTGGGACGAGATCTGCACGAAGCTGGACCTCAATGCGCACATTCCCAAGCCAGAGTGAGTAGAGATATGATTTTAGTTACTCGATTACCTCTTTTCTAATTAAATTATTTTTTATTTTTCTAGGCCCGAGACCAAGGAGGGCAAGGAGGGCGGCGAGCAGGAGAAATCAAACGAACAGGAGGGCACTGAGGGCGACAAGATCGAGAAGGAGTTGGAGAAGGACAAGGTGAGGCTAAGGTCCCGAGTGTCAGATGGTCTTTCTTTAATATTGAAAAATATAGAGTGTATAAATATAGGAAATTATGGTCCATTTTCCCATTTATAAACCACTTAAAAATAATTGTCTTTTCAAAACATTAATTTCAAATATTAAAATTAAAATAACAATATTAAAATTTCTTATAGAGTCAATAAGTATAGAAATTGGTTACATTTTCTCAATTTCTAACAATGGAATAAACCACTTAAAAATCAGTGTTTTTATCGAAACATTAATTTCAAATATGTAGATTATGATAAAAATATTACAATTTCTTATAGAGGCAATAATTATAGGAATTGGGTTCATTTTCTACATTAGTAAAGTGGAATAAACCACTTGAAAATTTTTGTCTTTTCGAAACTTTAATTTCGAATATTAAGATCAAAATATTAAAATTTCCTATGTAGTCAGATTTTGATTTTTATATTGAGTTTTTGACGAAGAAAGACCTTTGTATCTTTAATCCAAAAGATATTTCTTCACATATTAACCCATGTCCTTATTCTTTTCCAGTCGAACGAGAAGGAGTCGACCGAGGAGAACAAAGAGAAGGAGGAAACAAAGTAATTTCGCCGTTAGTTATATGCGTACATATATCTAGTATATGTGTATGATCGAAGGAAACAAAAACACCCACATACACACACATTATATATATATACATATGTAGTACGATACTATATAGTAAGGCCCTATATAGCTAGGCGCTGCGCTCTCATATATAAGCATTCAGACATCAGAAAACCACTCGAAAAACCAAACAAAAAAAAGAAACCATTAAGAAAACACCCATTTACACACACCTAGGACAACTGTAAAGCAAAACGCAGGCAAAAACCATCAGCAAGAGAACGATCCACTAAGTAATGAGAAAAACAAAAAAACATATATACAATAACGTAACGTAAAACTTTGGACATCTTTTTTTTATATATTTACACGACGACGTTTGTATTACAAGAACAAGAAACAAAAAGCGAAAAATTCAAGAAAATGCAAAAAAAAACCGTAAAAACCATTTAGTATAAAATTATAAAAGTTTATACGTATAAATATTAAGAAGATGAATGAAAGCGATGAGAGCGGGGGGAGAAATTATAAAAAATTAGTTAAAGAACTCGAATAAAACAAAGAACAAGTGAGCAAAACGTGAGTAAGAAGAGTGAAGCCCGATAGGAGGAAAAGTTAGGGAGGTGTAGAACAGCATACAATACGCATTAATCATTAGTTTTCATTCAAAAGCGATCTATATAATACACTCATCCACACTCACACTCCCACTCACTCTCACAGACACACACACACACACATATAGCATATGCAGCAACAATTGCAACTCGATGGTATTGTTTACTCTTCCAAAATTGATTAAGCTTAAAGTAAAGAAAAGGATCCGCAACCAGTACGATAGGAGGATATGATATGATATGATAGTGATGGTTAGTAGGGATGGCATGCAATGGGAATGAGAATTAGAATGCGAATGCTGATGGTATAGGAATGATATAACGGAATGACGGCAATTAAGTTTATTTTTTATATATATATGATTGCAAATAGTAATTTTGATTCTCGTGTGCAAATAATTAAACAAAGCGGATAAAATTTATTACTTATAATTATATACATAAACCTTATATACGCCCCATTATGCATAAAGATGTGTATAAAAAAAAACAAAAACAAAACAAACAACAAAACATAAAAACTGTATGTTGGTTCTTTTATTATATTATATTTTATTTCTATAAATATTATTGTAATTGTACTGTGTATTATGATTTTGCGTATGAGATGCTCAGAGCGTTGATCCATCAATAATTCACCCCACATACAAAAAAAAAAAAAAAATCAAACCAATTCGAACCAAAAAGAATACTCGGCCATCCATACGAACAAAATTTACCTTTTAATTTGTACGAATTTGTAACTACTTATGTATATTCTCTTTTGGTACGTCCACTGAAACAAAATTATGTACGCCTCATTTATTTTTTCCACTGTCTTGTGTTTTATACGATTTAATTTAATGATATTGATTATGCAAATATATATATAAATATAAACATAATTTCTATTGTAATTAAAAACGCTGCAGACAACAAAAACGAACGACAAACTCATAGAAAACACAACAGACATCTGAGGAGAAGAAGGAGCGCAAGAACTGGAAGAATTCTCCGCGGGGAGGTCACTCCCCCTCGCGTTCTCCTACTCCGAAACACTTTCACCCTTATCCAGTCGGCCTCCCATTCATTCACGGATTCCTCGGTGTTTATTGTTTTCCTTTTTTTTTTTTGAACTTCTCATAAAATAAAACGAATCATCATCAGCCGCAGATGGAGAATGAATGAAATCTTTTAATAGGGTAAAACTCACACAACTAAGAAATAAAAAAGAAATACAGAACCCATTGAGGCGCGACAAAAAACAGTGAAAACAATTTAGGGGAAGGTCAGAAAAAAAACACAAGAAGCAGGAGAAGACGAGCGGGCGATCGATCGATCCACGAAGAAAATCTCTATAACGATACGATTTGTAGACTACGCAAGTATTTTTATGTATTAAAGGTTATGTTGTAAGTTTTTATCACAATATTTGTATTGTAGCTCAGTGTTTTATATGATTATATAAAATGGATAAAGAAAAAGAAAACAAAAACAAAAATGAAAACGATAAACCGAAATGAAACCGAAACCATAAAAGCGTAAAGAGCAGAAGAGCAAACCCGGACAGAAAGAAAAATTATTGTATTACATACATCTTATATATAATAAATATGCTTCTTAATAAAAAAAAAAACAAAAAACAAAACAAAGCCCCGAATGCGCCCAACTGATTTACGACGGAGGCTTCCGCGGCGGACACGCACTGTCCCGATAAAGAAGTCGCATCGGTCGACTTTAAGCCGGGGTGGCTTTAACTTGCCCCCGGCCGTACGGGAAACGGAGGAAAAATTTAATTATGACACCCGAGTTATCTTTCGACGACGTACTAACAACACCCCTGATAACTCTAATTCAAGTTTGCTTATTCATATCTAAACAGTCATAGTAGCCCTCGGTTATATATTTCGCCCCGATAGCAGATAGCAACCCAATCTTTCGAAGAGAAGCCCTCAAAACTCGAACCCGAAATTATTATTTTGTGTGGTCACTGTTTTCGTGGTCAGCAATCAGGCTAGATGAATCAGTTTTGGGGCACTTTTAATTGATATGATTTTTTCCAATTTTTCCAATTATAATTGATCTCAGTTAAAAAGTTAACCAAAGCTGGGCAATTCAATTAGGCAAAGTGAAGAAGTAAACATTCAGCGATGAACTTTCTTCTCCATCTCAAGGTCACATAGGAGACCCAGCCTTTTATATATATATTTGCACCCAGATATGCCAATCAAATTGACATTCAATTCAATCTGACCCAATATTACGGTGACGGGGGCGATAATCGATATTTGACCTAGGCCAATAAATTTTCCCACCACCCCCATTTAACTAGAGTTTGGAAGTTGTCTAATCAACATTTAATTTGATGTTCGATTCGAACGCTTCGGAGCCATCAAACATCAAACAAATGGCAGGGGGCTTTTGGGGGCGTTTGGGGTTCTAAGCCCCCTATAAACGACTAATCAAGGCGAACACATCGAAGAATACCCGGGGCAAACCCTGCCCACCCCAATTGCCCCTCTATTTCTGTCAGCGACATTTCGGGCAATTTATCGAAGACGAATATTCCAATCAGAGCAAATCATGCGAATATGGCAAACGGAATTTATTACGCCAAGCGTGCAGGGGCCGTAAAAAATAAAAGGTAAGTGTGATATCGTTTGGATCCATCTATCTCCAACCCGCAGTTACGTTACAGCAGTAGTCAAAGTGGTAGCAGTTTGTATTTCAGGGTTGTTGGGATCTATTACTTGGAATCATATGAAACTTATTCTGGAAAACTTAATGTAGTATCAAACAATTTTGGTTACTTACGTAATAGGGGTTAATATCTTTTTGGATTCTTATTTGTTCTACAAATATTAATACATGTATTTACCAAAATTTGAGAGTAGTTGGAAATGGCTATATAATTTTATCTTTGATAAACAATCATATATTTATAGTTTATTAATTAGTTATTTTTATTAAGATTATTACTTCCTTGAATCTTAATCTGATATTATATGATATGATATTATATTATATTTTTTTATTAGGGGTTTAACCTTTTTATACCCTTGTAGAGGGTATTATAATTTCAGTCAGATGTTTGCAACGCAGTGAAGGAGACGTTTCCGACCACATAAAGTATATATATTCTTGATCAGCACCAATAGCCGAGTCTATCTAGCCATGTCCGTCTGTCCGTCTGTCCGTCTGTCCGTCTGTCCGTCTGTCCGTCTGTCCGTTTCTATGCGAACTAGTCTCTCAGTTTTAAAGCTATCGCGATGAAACTTTCCCGAAGGTCTTCTTTCTATTGCAGGTAGTACATATGTCGTAGCGAGCCGGATCGGACCACTATATCTTAAGGCTCCCAAACAAATATAAGAAAATTCATTGTAACTTTGTAGGAAGTAGGCGTTTTGATTCTTGACTACTTAAAAACAAAATTGAAATAAATCGAAACCCTGAATCTGGAATCCCTGGAACTGCACCGAGTGAGTATTCTTTTATCTACAAGGGTATATAAGCTTCGGCTGGCCGAAGGTAGCTTCCTTTCTTGTTTAAATTTCTTTATTTATCTACAAAATTTTTTATTTTTAACAAAATTCGATAGATTGTTATTTCCTTGATTAAACTATGTTCATAAATATCATCGAAATAAAATATTTTCCAAGAATGGATCTTGATCTTAACTTACAAAGTATTTGTAGGTAAATTGGTATGTTACCTTTCTTGAAGGTCTTCTATATTTAACACATATTTAGTTAAATAGATTTTAGAAAAGAGCTATTTTTTAAGAGCTACTAATATTTTGATCTCATCTGTATACACCTATCGCTCTGACAAACACACTTATCCAGGGAGAGCTTATAACGGTAACGTTCCGTTTGTCCTTTGTGGCAAATATTTTTTCAGCTGCCAGAAAAGGAGAGGGGGAGGTGGTTGTTAGAGCGAGAGGGCGATAGTATTGGCGTGCACATTGCATGCGGCGACAGGTGGGTGGAAGGGAGAGGGCTGGAGGGGTGTGCAAGAGATAGATAAGTAATTCCATGGAGCATGCAGCTTGGTTGGATGTCGATTCGGAATTCTGAGTTCTGAATTCGGAGGCTCCCAGCATTGAATTGGTGTTAAGCACGAACCGAACGAAATGGAAATGGAAATGAAAATGAGAGAACCTGACTGAGAATGAAAATCAGCAGTTGTCATTGTCATTGGAATTGGTTGTCGACTGGGGGGGCGAGTGGAAAAGCGGGGGGAAATGGGGAGTTTATGGCTCGAAGGCAAAAAGGGAGATGAAAGACACGCCATCGAAAGAAGAGTCCACCGGAGCTCCGTTCATCCAGTTGCCGCTGTTCACTGCAACTGCTCGGTTCGGATTCGCTCCTGCTCTTTTAACCGTTATTTATCGAAGTTTATCCGGAAAACTTCCCGCTTATCCGACTTATCCGCCCTCGTGTGATTTACCTGTGATTTTTACAATCCGATCGTGCTGAAATGTAGTGTATTTGGCAATTTAATAGATGAACTAAACTGGAGCACGGAATCTCGAAATCTAAATAATTGTGAAATCTTTACCTAATTACCTGTTCGTGCGGAAATGTTGCATAGTGTTATATAGTACTAGGCTGTACCAAATAAGAATCTGTAATTTATCAAAAACATTGCAAGTTATTTAGAGTTATTGTTTTAGATATTGTTAAAATGTTACAGATATCTAGATAAAAACTTGGCAATATATTTCTGTTTTAATTGTATAATGATAAGATAATGCTTTTATATCTAGTGAAACCAAATTAAATCGTTGTATTCTAAAAAATTCCCAAGATATGAGCATTTTATTTTAACAAGGTCTCTTTTTTGTAATGTAACATGTTTTTCTAACCTGATTTTGCTTAAATTAGTTTGATCTTAGATAGTTTATACAAATATATACATTTTTAATTAAAGCTTGAAACAAAAATTAATAAAAATATAATAATAATGATGATATCATAGATAAAGTCAAAGCTATCTTTTCAATTGACTATCTGGAAACATTAAATTTCCGCCATGTCCAACCAATTGTTTTTCCTGAGCTTGGCGGACATCTTCTCGGTGTATCCGGCCATCTTCAAGGAGCAGAGCAAGAAGCTAAAGAAGACCAAGCAGATCTATTTGCCCAGCGATGAGGAGTGGCAGGATAAGATGTACTACATGCTACTGGAGATTCAGCGACATGTGAACGACTCCTCCGATGATAAGATATCCCTGCACGATATCAATAAGAAGGAGAAACCCATGTTCGATCCCATGCGTATCACCAAAATCATTTCGCCGGGTGTTAGTCCCAATGGACGACGTAGCAGGACTCTCAAATACTGTCATTCTACCACAGTCAAGGTTAAATTAAAGTCCGGAGCACGTTGGACTTTGCCCACCATCGCTAATGCCGCAAAACTCCTTCGCAAACCACCGATTTTAGTGGATTTTCAAAATGAGCATGATATGCGATTGGCCTTCTCGCTAATATACGATGTCTTTCGCTGTAAGTTTTTTTATGCCCACAAACAAAAGCACGATCCGTAAAATCGATATGGCCATGTAAATTTCAAAACCCATATCGTTTTTACATGAAATACTCTTTTCGACCAGGTCAAATCTACCTGGGGGCATATCAAATTAAAATTCGATCTACGTTTTATATCGATTTTTTTTGGGTATTGTTTTGTACTAAATGGTTACCTAAAACTGTTCCATCAAAATTTTTAGATAAAGTTGTAATGTCAAATGCCTTGAATGACGTCGGTTTCTTTGAGAAACACAAGGAGGTGAGTAAAGACTTATATTTAAAAAAAAATGATATAAGTATGTTTTTTATTCTTCTTAGTACAAAAACGACGAACAACGCATTTGGTTAATGCTCTTCGAGCTCTACGATCGCCAGTTCAAAGGTCGCAACTCCGAGGAAAAGGATTTGCAGGCGCGACTTTATAAGGAGTCTGAAGTTACAGGTGGGGATAATGCATTATTATTAATTCTTTTCTGAAGCTAAACTCTAAATAGAACTCGCGGATGTCCTTTGGCTGCATCGCATACGATTGGCAGCCTCGATTTCGCGGATGAGGATTCGGGTTGGAGCTCTCCGCCTCTCACAACTGCTGCCCATTCATCTCCAGAATGAAAAGGTGGCCATCGCAGCTGCAAATCCTGTGGTCACCGGTTGGATAAATCCCTTTTTAGTGCGGTGAGTAAATAAAAATATTTATTATATTTTAAATAAATTCCTTTTTTATTTTATTTTCTAAGGAATAAGGAAGAGGCAGATAAGATCCTTGCCGATATGGGCTTTACTGTACACGGTCCAGACGATGAGGAGCAATTGCTGGTGCAGCACTGTAAATGGGACAATATCTGTCCTTTGGTCATATCCTGCATTCCCAAGGACCGCAGCGAGTTTACCAAATCCGTGCTGATGACTAAACATTACTTTATTATGCAGGTAAGAATATTAAATAACAAGAAAGGAAGCTACCTTCGGCCAGCCGAAGCTTATATACCCTTGTAGATAAAAGAATGCTCACTCGGTGCAGTTCCAGGGATTCTAGATTCAGCGTTTCTATTTATTTAAATTTTGTTTTTAAATACAAAGTTACGATGAATTTTCTTATATTTGTTTGAATATTCCTATGGGAGCCTTAAGATATAGTGGTCCGATCCTGCTGAAACTGGGCAGTGATTAGGTGCTGAAAGTAGGCAGTGATTAGGTGATGAAAGTAGGCAGTGATTAGGTGCTGAAACTAAGCAGTGATTAGGTGCTGAAACTGGGCAGTGATTAGGTGCTGAAAGTAGGCAGTGATTAGGTGCTGAAAGTGGGCAGTGATTAGGTGATGAAAGTAGGCAGTGATTAGGTGCTGAAACTAAGCAGTGATTAGGTGCTGAAACTGGGCAGTGATTAGGTGCTGAAAGTAGGCAGTGATTAGGTGCTGAAAGTGGGCAGTGATTAGGTGATGAAAGTAGGCAGTGATTAGGTGCTGAGACTAAGCAGTGATTAGGTGCTGAAAGTAGGCAGTGATTAGGTGCTGAAACTAAGCAGTGATTAGGTGATGAAGGTAGGCAGTGATTAGGTGCTGAAACTAAGCGTGATTAGGTGCTGAAATGATTAGGTGCTGAAATAGGCAGTGATTAGGTGCTGAAAGTAGGCAGTGATTAGGTGCTGAAAGTAGGCAGTGATTAGGTGCTGAAACTAAGCAGTGATTAGGTGCTGAAACTGGGCAGTGATTAGGTGCTGAAAGTAGGCAGTGATTAGGTGCTGAAACTAGGCAGTGATTAGGTGCTGAAACTGGGCAGTGATTAGGTGCTGAAAGTAGGCAGTGATTAGGTGCTGAAACTAAGCAGTGATTAGGTGCTGAAAGTAGGCAGTGATTAGGTGCTGAAAGTAGGCAGTGATTAGGTGCTGAAACTAAGCAGTGATTAGGTGCTGAAACTGGGCAGTGATTAGGTGCTGAAAGTAGGCAGTGATTAGGTGCTGAAAGTAGGCAGTGATTAGGTGCTGAAACTGGGCAGTGATTAGGTGCTGAAAGTAGGCAGTGATTAGGTGCTGAAACTAAGCAGTGATTAGGTGCTGAAAGTAGGCAGTGATTAGGTGCTGAAACTAAGCAGTGATTAGGTGCTGAAACTGGGCAGTGATTAGGTGCTGAAAGTAGGCAGTGATTAGGTGCTGAAACTAAGCAGTGATTAGGTGCTGAAACTGGGCAGTGATTAGGTGCTGAAAGTAGGCAGTGATTAGGTGCTGAAAGTGGGCAGTGATTAGGTGCTGAAAGTAGGCAGTGATTAGGTGCTGAAACTAAGCAGTGATTAGGTGCTGAAACTGGGCAGTGATTAGGTGCTGAAAGTAGGCAGTGATTAGGTGCTGAAACTAAGCAGTGATTAGGTGATGAAGGTAGGCAGTGATTAGGTGCTGAAACTAAGCAGTGATTAGGTGCTGAAACTGGGCAGTGATTAGGTGCTGAAAGTAGGCAGTGATTAGGTGCTGAAAGTAGGCAGTGATTAGGTGCTGAAACTAAGCAGTGATTAGGTGCTGAAGGTAGGCAGTGATTAGGTGCTGAAACTAAGCAGTGATTAGGTGCTGAAACTGGGCAGTGATTAGGTGCTGAAAGTAGGCAGTGATTAGGTGCTGAAACTAAGCAGTGATTAGGTGCTGAAACTAGGCAGTGATTAGGTGCTGAAAGTAGGCAGTGATTAGGTGCTGAAACTAAGCAGTGATTAGGTGCTGAAAGTAGGCAGTGATTAGGTGCTGAAACTAAGCAGTGATTAGGTGCTGAAAGTAGGCAGTGATTAGGTGCTGAAAGTAGGCAGTGATTAGGTGCTGAAACTAAGCAGTGATTAGGTGCTGAAACTAGGCAGTGATTAGGTGCTGAAAGTAGGCAGTGATTAGGTGCTGAAACTAAGCAGTGATTAGGTGCTGAAACTGGGCAGTGATTAGGTGCTGAAAGTAGGCAGTGATTAGGTGCTGAAACTAAGCAGTGATTAGGTGCTGAAACTGGGCAGTGATTAGGTGCTGAAAGTAGGCAGTGATTAGGTGCTGAAACTAAGCAGTGATTAGGTGCTGAAACTGGGCAGTGATTAGGTGCTGAAAGTAGGCAGTGATTAGGTGCTGAAAGTAGGCAGTGATTAGGTGCTGAAAGTAGGCAGTGATTAGGTGCTGAAACTGGGCAGTGATTAGGTGCTGAAAGTAGGCAGTGATTAGGTGCTGAAAGTAGGCAGTGATTAGGTGCTGAAAGTAGGCAGTGATTAGGTGCTGAAATTAAGCAGTGATTAGGTGCTGAAAGTAGGCAGTGATTATGTGCTGAAACTAAGCAGTGATTAGGTGCTGAAACTAAGCAGTGATTAGGTGCTGAAACTGGGCAGTGATTAGGTGCTGAAAGTAGGCAGTGATTAGGTGCTTAAACTAAGCAATGATTAGGTGCTGAAAGTAGGCAGTGATTAGGTGCTGAAACTAAGCAGTGATTAGGTGCTGAAAGTAGGCAGTGAGTAGGTGCTGAAACTGGGCAGTGATTAGGTGCTGAAAGTAGGCAGTGATTAGGTGCTGAAACTAAGCAGTGATTAGGTGCTGAAACTAAGCAGTGATTAGGTGCTGAAACTAAGCAGTGATTAGGTGCTGAAAAATAAATATAAAACAAGAAAGGAAGCTACCTACGGCCAGACGAAGCTTTTATTCCCTTGTAGATAAAAGAATGCTCACTCGGTGCAGTTCCGGGGATTCCAGATTCAGCGTTTCTATTTATTTAAATTTTGTTTTTAAGTAGTCAAGAATCAAAACGCCTACTTCCTACAAAGTTATAATGAATTTTCTTATATTTGTTTGAATATTCCTATGGGAGCCTTAAGATATAGTGGTCCGATCCGGCTCTCTCCGACATATGTACTACCTGCAATAGAAAGAAGACTTTCGGGAAAGTTTCATCGCGATAGCTTTAAAACTGAGAGACTAGTTCGCATAGAAACGGACAGACGGACAGACGGACATCGCTAGATAGACTCTGCTATTGGTGCTGATCAAGAATATATATACTTTATGTGGTCGGAAACGTCTCCTTCACTGCGTTGCAAACATCTGAGTGAAATTATAATACCCTCTACAAGGGTATAAATATCTTAGATTAAAGTTATGAATAACTTACATTTGGACGTTAATAGCCCTAGTTTTAATTAGAAATCGAAACAGTCATTAGCTTAAACGCTTATTTCCGTTTATAATTAATAGTTATACTGAAAACTAAAACAGCACGTTTGAGTTTTTCCCGGAAAAAATGCGCCTAGACAGCTTATAAATAAGTCAACATTGCGTATGATCAATAAACATTGAAACTAAATCTGGTCGAAGTGAAAAACAAATGCTCTATAAACATGTTTTCGTCTTGTAATTTAATGCTGGTTAATTCTCGGGCTTTTTATTTTGGTTTGCTGCAGTTTTAAGGAACTTTTTGAATGTTTATAAGACCCTTTGTTTTTTTTTTTTTTATTATTATTTTTTTTTATTTTGTATCCCAGCACTACAAGTAATGAAACTCTTAATTTAATGTGCTAGTCACCTTGATTTTTCAATATTCCGTCCAGGACAAGAACTTCACTTTTGGCCCGGCCATAATGTCCAAGTTGATGGACTACTTTGAACTGGATGGCGATATATTGCAGACCCATATAGGTTCCCCCCGATCCACCGCCTATTTGGCCGCTCTCTTCTACTCCATCAATCGGGTGAATAACTTTTATGTCTATGGAGCCGGGGCGAATCTCAAGGAGTACCGTCGCTACATGGAATCCATTGGAGTAAATAATATCAGGCTGTTTGGCGATGCCTTCACCTCGTTCCCCATGGAATCGAATCGCTTTCGCACGGTGGTGGGAATTTTCGCCACTCCCCCGAACTCCTTTAGTGCCATCTCGGATCCCATCGACTTGATTTGTTCGCGGGGCGGAGATCTGAGTATGCTGGAGGTGCTCACCGAATCGGAGGTCAGCGACGAGGGTCGCCAGCGGGTGGCCATGATCCTCGAGGAGCAGCTGCTGACCCTCACCATGTCGATGTCGCGACCGCAGGTGCAGTTTGTCCTCTATCAAACGCACTCGATTGTGGGCACCGAAAACGAGGATATGGTGCAGCATGTGGTGGAGCTGATCAACAAACTGGCCCTGGAGAAGCATCGCAATGCCTACAAGGAGCAGAAGCGACTGGAGGCGATAGCCGAGGCCGAGGCAGCCAATATTCCGGCGGCTGCCATGACCAAGGATTCGCCCAGGAAGAAGGATAAGCCGGTGGCTCAACCCGAAGTTCCTACTCCAGCTGCAGCTCCTCCCCTTCCACGAGTGGATAGTATTGACCTGATAGTAACCCCCGATATCGATGAATTTGTGCAGGACACTGTGCCCGATATTTGCATCAATCAGGATAATTGCATCAAACAGCAGGTTACGGGTAGCTATTTATCTTTGGTTCGTAGGAAAACGTTGACTCATCTCAATGAGAAATACCTCATTCGTCGGGCCGAGCAGAGAGGACTCTTTGGCAAACCGGAAAAGGACTCGAAGGATAAGTCGCGACCCAAGACGGTGAAACTGCAGGAACAGCAATCGGAACCAGCGCCCCAGGATATGTTCTATGATCGCGGGAACTCTGCGAATAAATCAAGTGCCCAGCAAATTGTAAGTAAACATAGGCTAAACCCCAAAACCCTATATATCAGATACACAATAAGGCTGTTAGACTTTACACTTTATTGTTAACAAAAACAAATTTTTGAAGGTGGGCGATTGTTGTTAAAATAGCGCACTTGTGGCACATATATAGGGGGTAATGTGACTGAGGCTGGGGCTTTGTACACCGGAGTCTTATGAGCTAATAATTAACATGTCCATGCTGTCTGCGGATCGATCATCATCGATGATAGACACGCGATCGCGATCGATGTCATCATTATGGAAGATCATGCCTTAAATCATTATATCGACAAGTTCACTTTTAATAACTCTTTATCGCTTTCATTTTGAATACTATTATATCATATACTTTTGGTTCTTTTAGTTATACTAAAATACATTATTATAATTATATTAATTACTCAGCCAATGCCTTTACTTTCTACTATTTGTATTATCTTCATCTATATTCACATCACTTGTTTTTTTTATTTGCATGTGCATGGAGGTATTTCATTTGTTGCATTGTCTTTTATACTATTAACATTTGTATTATTTGTATACATTTAAATATTCGCATCATTATCATATATTAAATGTGACTGATTTAGTTGTTAGGGTTATCTGGAAGTACCCCAGCCCCCATCTCATTACCTTAATCTATATTCACATCCTATAATCTTCGGCCACATCATCATCGCCATTTGAGAGAGGGTGAGTTTTCTGGGGTAATTAGCATGACTACCTCTTTGGCTTAGTCACAGGCTCCAAGGGATTAGGTCATGCTCGATCTGCTTATCTCATTGGTTTTGGGATTGTCAAGATCTGGGATTAGATGGGTTGGGAGATCGATTACTACTTCTTCCAGGCACTCGACGATGAGGTCTTCGCGTAGTTCTGGCTCTTTTGCTGCTGGTAATTCTGCTTAATATCCGACTTCTTGGAACTCGCATAATTCGAACCCAAGCCGGAAGTATTGCTACTGCTTCCATTGTAGCTGAAACTGGATTTGAAGGTCGGATTGCCCAGGCTCTTGAACATGGGATGATTTTTACCGGCGCCCACCGGCGGTGCCGACTGGTTGTAGTAGCTCCTCGAGGAGTTTTGGTTCTGCAGCTGCTGCTGTCCCTTCTCGTTGGACATTTGGCGGGCGTAGGAGGAGAGTCCCAGACCCACGGCTCCCATGCCCACACCCAATCCTACGGTGCTCACGCCCACTCCGCCCATTCCCACTCCATAAGACTGCTGCTTGTGACTCGTACTAAATGTGGCCGCCTGATGATCGCTGGCCAGCGATCCACTCTGCGTGTAGAATTGCTGCTGAACCTCCACAATATACCGATAGGCCTCCTCCATGCTCTTTGGGTTCCTGCGCAGGATCATCGAGTGCGTGGGTTCCGGCAGGTGATCCCTGAACACCTGCAGCGTTATCCTCTCGATATCCTCGAGACCATACAGGGTATCATTGTGAGTCAACTTTCGATTGATCAGTCTGTGCTTCAGCTTGGCCATCTTCTGGTAGTACAACTCGATATTCGAGTCCAGCACGGCACTGCGTATCTTGTGGATCAGCGAGTAGCTGGACTCCCTCTCCGCATAATTGTACAGAAGCTGATCCTTGAGCTTCAGCCAGGACTCGGCTTTCAAAAGGTGACCATTTCCATTGCCATTCGCTCCCACTGGGGCACTCATTTGTCGGGTGAAAACCGCTTCCCTCGCTCGATCCGTGCACTTATTCTTTATATGTCCTATTAGCTGCGCCTTGTAGTACTCATCGAAACTATTTATGGCCGGCATGAGGGCCTCGATCTTTTGCAGGAACTGCGGCAGCTTGCCGGGATCACTGCCATCGAAGTTCTCCACCAGCTTCAGCCGGCTGAGCACCTGATTGTATTTGTTCACGAACTCGGGATCCATCGTATAGGGGTATCCTATATTTTCCGGAATTTTAGCTTTACCGTTCGCGTCGACGTTTCGGGCGCAACTGCTTCCAAATTCGAAATCACCGCCAAGCGACCGATTGTTGTGTATGGAAAAACAGTTTTTAGATTCTTACAAATGTATAAATTAACATTCATTAACATGAATTTTACTTGCAAGACCCTCTCCGATCCACTGCGAATTCGAAATCGACACGAACCGTGGTCGAGCTGAGCAGAACTGAAATGAAATGAGCGGATCCGAACCCGAACAGAAATCAACTGGCGGAATAAAACAGAACGGAACACAGCGCCCGCCATTCATTGTGGTGGGAGTTGTGGTACCCGGTATATCTGGAGTATGGGGGTGTGCCGAGCTTTTCCAGGTGCTACGATACGTTTAATGGGAAGCCAAAGATATCGTGGGAATTTCAAATCCCAAGATTTAAAATGAATTGTTTCAGGGCTCTTAAGAAAGTGCTCATAATTTTACGATTACATTTTCAGTTTTACTTCAAGATCAATTATTTATTTATGGCTTAAAATAATAATTAAATTTTTTTAGAGATATATTACTTTTTCTGAGGCATTTTGTGTGATTAAGTGAAATATTAATCATAGACTATTATTTCGGATTTATACAAAAATAATTCAGCAAAAACATCCATCCAAAGTTAATGTACTTTATTTTCAATTTTAGTACCAGTTTTAATATTATTTTGGAAAAATTAAGGTTTTCCCCGGATAAAAAGTGCTTTACAAAACCTGAGTAAATATATCCCATTCAAGAGATCTTAAATTTTGTAACGAAATTCCTGGTTTTCCTCGGAAAGGAATACCATTTTAGTAGCATACATTTTGGGTAAACATATGAACTAGTCCAAAAATTCATGCATTAAAATTTAACTGTTAAATCGTTAGATCATAATTTATTTTTTGTTATCTAAAACATTTTTGGTTTATTAGATGTACTTATAATGAAAACTGAACTAAATTACCAGAGTGTTTATCCCTTTTCACCTAAAAATTTCATGAAAATTTCTGGTTATGCAAAACCCATATCGTTTTTACATGAAATACTAATTTCGACCATATTAAATTTACCTGATATTGATATTACATAATGTAAAATCGATCTACGTTTTAGTTTTTTTTATTTATACGATTAACTGGTATTAAATTACTATAATGAGTATCTGGAAATCGTTACCCCAGCCTCTACATTTGCTATTTGTTTACTGTTGTTGTGTTGTATGCCCGGTGGCTGAATCATAGGCACAAACACAAATACGGCGACACCCTGCGACCGATCGCGCTTAGATATAGCCTATAGCCGGGCAGATAGAGATAGAGATAGTGCCAGGCCAACGGACACGGGCCCACAAAAACCCAAACCCCGTAGCCCCAGCACGCACATATGGCACATATAGTACTACCCTAATACAACATCGAACACAACAAGCGAATTTCATTAAAAGGCGCGCGCACAAATCGCTTTAAACGAAGCGTTAGATTTGTTTGTTTGTTTTTTATTCATTCGCCGTGTTAATTGCCAGGGGGCAAATGGCAAAAAAATCAAATGAATAAATAGAGAAAGTGCACGCGAGGATAACATAATTGTCATCTCTATTGACAGACAGTCGAATGGCACATGCACTGGTGGAAATATTACACATACGCACTGATTGACAGCGAAAAATGCTACGACTTTTCGACATTATTCACATGCAAATTGTTCCAAAGAGCAATTGCATTCAAGGTCCTTTCATAATAATTTCAGATTTTTTCGAAGAATCTAATTGTGCGGCTCACGCTGCACCCTGCACTCGATTGGTCATCGCTTGATCTGCACTCAATCGACCCCAGCAGCATCTAATTCAGCTCGATTGCCTCCAATCTTGACACGTACACTGAGAGAAATATTCAAATCGATTGATTAATCATTGATTTTTGTTTAATTGGTGTTTCTTTATTTTAACACTATATTTGTAACTTGACAAATATACCTAAAATATTTAATATAAAATTTTGTTTTATAAAAATTTAAAAATAATTTTACCTGGATGCCGGCAACCACACTTCATAAATATTTTTTAGACTTATGCTTGTAAAAAACGTTTTACAAATATAAAAAAACAGTTTAATATAAAGTTTTGTTTATATCAAGTGAATTTAACCAAATTCGTATGACGCTTGCTAATAAATATAGTTTGAATGTTTTAACCCCTGATTTTGCAACTAAAGAAATTGCTAATATACGACGTGTAGTTAGGTGGTTTTCTTCAAAAAAAGTACGGTTTAAAAAAAAAAATAATACCAATTAAAAATCCAATGTATTAACAAAATTTGTACGATACGTTATTATTTTTAATCAAAGTGATTTTTAGAACTCCGATTTTGCGCCTAAAACTTTATGCTAATTTGTATTTGAATGGTTAAAGAAGTATTGGTACACAGAAAATATTAAAAGTTTTAGGAGTAAAATAAGGGTGAAACCATACTAATTATAAATCAAACGCTTCATCCAAATTATGCATATTATTATTTTTAATCGAAGTGATTTTAGTTTAAGTTTTAGAACACCCCGATGATAAATAGTAATTAAATGGTAAAAATAAAATGGTACTATGTTATTTCTCGCGGTGTAGGGCCACTCATACCAGCGCACACCTTTATTAGTGGTTACCCGCCGCTTAACCCTTCACTGCCCCCTGTTCCCCGTCGATGGGTCGCTTTTAAGGTCTGCTGCGCCGGCGTGCGCGGTTTAACTAATTAGCAACAATTTCTGAGCGTTAGCGGCTTGTAAAACTGTTTAATAATAGCAAAAACTTGTCGGCGTATAGTCATCGCCGAGGACAAATCACAAAGAAGCCGGGAGATTAAACGGGGGGGAGTGGGGCTTCCATTGGCGTGTTAATTTAAATCGCGTCTCTAAACTGATAAGCGGATTTAATTGCTATCAACTTCGAGTTGGATGACTTCGCCGCCCCGCCTGTCACTTTAGCTCACTTTGGCTGCGAAAACAATCCACACCGCCTTGCAACTGTAATTTTTATAGTTATTATGTAGACAACAACAGCGACTTGCTTTGCCGCTTTGATAAGCAGGTTCAGGGACGCCGCCCCCACCACCCACAACCCACAACCCACCATCCCAACCCAAAACCCCACCCAACAAGAAATACCAATGTGCCATTGTGGAGTTTTCCGAACTTAAGATAACGATTACCTGCCGCAAAGGTGATTAATCATCTAGATAGTGTCGATATATATTATGATTTCATTCACAACTGTTTGTAAAATTTAAATGATAACGATTTTGGCAAACTTTGCTTTTCAGATATGGCTTAATACACTCCCAGAAAATAAATATTTATTGAATTTTATTTAAATCAATAAACATATAGCCCATAAATACTGTGTTTACGGTTGTAATAAAAATAAAGTCGTGATATTTCGATAAACAGGTTTATAATACCAGGATTTTGTTTTTGATAAATCAAAAGATAAATTGGTAATTTATTTAACAAAAAAAGGAACTTGATTTCTTTCTTTATTTTTCTTTCTCTATTTTTTAAAATGCAGAATTCAAAATAAACTTTTAGGAAAGCATTACAAAATTGTGGGAATAAATACTTTCGTTTTGTGTGGTCCAATAAAAAAATTCCCTATAAAACTTTAAAATTATTATGCATGAAAAACTAACGTTTAAAGAAAAATAAACCTGCCAAATTTGGATTCCATCGTTCGCATTGTTTGCAATAGCCAGGTGTCTAAATGAAGTACACCGTAGTACCGAGTACACAAACTTATCGGCCATAGATTCAATTGAAACGCCGCTCGATTCGAATAATTTGCAAGCCAAATTTGGCGCGAATTCTTTGCGAACATTTTGTGCATATTAATTGTGTTCTGAAAATGTGTTGAATTGTTTGGAAAACTAATTACGTGCGCGAGCCATTTTATTTATAACTATTATTATTTATTATTTTCATATTTTTTGTTTTTTTTTTGCAGCTCCAGCGTCTGCAGCGTTCGACGAGCGCCAGTGCGATCCGTTCGCACCTGACCAAGGTATCATCGACATACCGCCGCCCCATCGCCTTCAACTTTATTCGGCGCGAGTGCAAGAGGTTCTACGTTCTGCCCGTCTATATGGTGAGTGGGTATTTCCCCCTAGACAATTTTTAGGGTCCAATAACATTTATAGACCACCCATCCACCCATTGCCAATCCCGATTTTTAGCACAGCACCAAGCAGAGCATTCGATTATGGTGGCAATATGCCTACAAATGCGTCACACCCGCCGCTCCGTCGGATGCCGCCTGGAATCCGAATCTGAAATTTAGGCTCCACTGCAGCCGGCAGCTGCGCATCCGGAAATTGAGACGTGGTCCGTGGTCCAGGAGGCAGCCACTGCGGTTGCATATCAATGACATCAAGCTGTTGTGCCAGGTGCGCAGGCGAAGTAAATAAATGCATTGTTTATATAGCCCAAAGTCTAGACGAAATTCCTCGTTAAATTGCCAGTTCCATAAAGGTTTAGGCCAAATTCCACAGAAAAATCTGGTTAAAATTCAAACCTGAAAAGCTTGCCGCCTTTTGAGGGCATTGCCATCCATTGTGAGTTTATCGATAAATTAATATCAATCAGTGTTGAGTAAAGTAAACTTAAATAGTTTAAAAATTAAATATATTTTTAGTATTTATGTATTTTAACACACATCTTTAAGTCTTTATTTTAATTTAGTATCAGATTAGCATTTTATAAATAAGCCCAGTAATGTTTTCCAAATAAAAATAAAAAATAAATTAAAATATATGTAAACATATGGTTTATTTTACCAACAGCATGGAATTGTATTTAAAGGAACAGAAAATAAATATATGTATATATTCTAACACATTTTTCAATTAAAATATAACAACCAAAATGTCATTTAAATTATTTTTCCAAAAATTATGAAAAAGAAAAATAAAAAAAAGAATGAATTCTCATTTTATAAATTAAATATCCAATGCATCATCTCTCATCAGCTGTGCACGTTTTTGGTTAACAAATCTTTTCAAATTTAAAAGAATATTATTTTTTTCTAGATTTTGGTGTTATTATTGCAAAATGGATATTTCAGAAATTAACCTAAATTAATTTTGAGTTACACATTTATGGGACAAGTTATAATTATATCAACTATGCAAACTATCCATATTACATTTAGTTGTTCAGAGTAATCGTTAAGTATTTGATTTATTCATAGGATGAGTGGTGATTGAGTACAAGTACAAAAATTAATTCAATGAAATGCAATTTTAAATTGTCCGTACATATCGTCCTGTATTTCGCAATGACTTACGAGATTGGTTAAATGGAGTTGGGGCATATGCGCTCCGATACGCTATAGGTATAGTTATAGTTTATAGACATAGTAATGCTGATATCCTAAGGGCGATCCACTTAAACGCCACAAGTTTGATAGTGTGTGTCCCAGGCGCGCAGCTAAAATGGATGGGTGAAGGAAAAATATTTTAATAAATTATCTTCACTTTGGAGAAAATTATAAGTAACTACATAATAGAGATTTATGCTCACCTGGCATTCGCGACTGCAGTACCATTGATTCTGGCAACTGGAGCACAAGTAGGTGGCTTCATTGAGCTTGCACTCGTGGCAGCGCCTTTCCTCTTTTCCATTTAGGGGTGCGGAAAATTCGCGCTGGGACTTATTGTTGCTCTTATGGCCAAGCGGCTTGATCTTGTCTGACTTGGGCTTTATCTCGTCCATTTCTTCGTCGTTGCGGTGAGTGGAATGTGATTCGTGGTACTGGCAAATAAGATACATATTTTCCGGTAAGTACAAATTGTTTTAATTTCAATTAGAGCCCTGCGTGAATCATTCAATTTTTGTTTTATCATGAAATTTCTGATTTATTTAATTCAATTATATGTGAAATAAATTAAATGTTTTTCTAATTCATTTCAAATTGAATAAATGAATGAATAATTTTTATGAATTTGCCAGATTTTTTTGTGCTATCTTTGGAAAATTTGTAACAAATCAATGTTAACTGCTTAATAAATAAAATTGAGGCAGATTTTATCACAAAATTATGGCCCTTTCTTCTTCAAAAGAAGTTGTCGTTTGAATTATATTAAACTCAAAAATCAAATTCATTCAATTCTATTCAGGGATCGCAAGAAAGAATTACTTTTTAAAAAAATTGACAAATAAGTCCTATTTTTCAATTTTTATTATAAAAGTTGACAAAAACCTTATGCTTCAATTTTTATTATAAAAATCAACAAATATTTGTCAACTTTTATAATAAAAATGAATTGAAATAACTCTTGAACTGTAGGGTACATTGGTTTAAAATGTATATATGTATAATCTACGCTTTAATACCTTTCTGTTGATATGCCATATGTCCCCAAAATATTTTTGATGATGTAAAAAATATTATTATTATAAAAAATATGTTGGGGACATATGGCATATCAACAGAAAGGTATTAAAGCGTAGATTATACATATATAAATTTTAAACCAATGTACCCACAGTTCAAGATTATTTTAATTCAATCTTTATTTTATTATAAAAGTTGACAAATAACTCTTATGCTTCAATTTTTATTATAAAAATCAACAAAATTGAAGCATAAGAGTTATTTGTCAACTTTTACAATAAAAATTTAAAAATGAGACTTATTTGTCAATTTTTTAAAAAAGTAATCTTACGTGCGATCCCTGATTCTATTAAACTCAAAATTCTAATTAATTCATTCATATAAAACAAAAAATTCAAAATAATTCATTAAATCCATTCATGCAGGGCTCTAATTTCAATCGTTACCTGTCTATTAGCTAGTTGACGCTGGGATCCCATGGGACTGCTGTTGAACAGCGGCTTGAGCAATGATTCGTTCTCGAAATGGTTGTCCAGCGACATGTTGCTGTAGTGGGGCCGGTTTTCCCGCACCCTGAATCCTGTTGGCGACGAGGAGGAAGTGCTGGCCAGATTCGGCGTGGAGCTAGTCATCTCCTGATGGTATCTGAAAAAAATATTAAGTTTATTTTAATCTGAACTAATAGAAATAGGAGAAGCTTAATTTTAAAGGTTTAAAATTAAAAACGGCAGTTGCAAGCCACCAGGAAAATGTGATTAAAAGGAGCTAAGTATTCCAACCTGTCTTGCGGGTGCAAAAGCCTTGGCCGCTTGGCCAGCGGAGCTGCATATGCGTTGAGTTCGCGCTGATTTGGCTCATTTGGCGTATACCGGGCATCTCGCATTGTTGACCGACGCGCTGGCAGGGAATTCCTTCTAAATAGCTGTCCCTCCTCCTCGAAATGGCGAGGTGATACGGGCGGTGCCTGTTCCTTCAATCCCATTACTCTGAAAATATTAATTTTAAATCTGAATTTCCATAATTTTAATCATTCAAACTCACCCGCGCAGCAAACGAATGTTGTTCTGGTTGAGCTCCGCGTAATTCAGGCATTGCTCCACCGCCGACAGTCCGCGTTTGGAGGCCATCGGAGCTTCCTGCTCCTCCTCGAGTATCGCCTGCATATCCTGCAGCTCGTCAGTGCTGCAACTTTTGTTCAGCAGCATTGGCAGCAGCTCCTTTACAATAGTCACGCGCTCCTTTCGCTCCAATCGCGAGCGCAGCTCCTCTTTAACGCAGCGCAGGTGAAGCAGTCGATTGTATTCCTCCTCTTTCTGGACAATCAGATTGTCCAGAGTCTTTCAGATCCGCATCAATGCGCTCCCGTTCTTCGGCCAGGGAGTTCTTATTCGGGTGAATCGAATTAACCTTATCCGTGACGATGGAGTTTAGTTCACCGAACAGTTCCCTGATGCGAAAATGGAAGTTGGCATCGCTGTTGTTGAGATCAATGTTGGGTTTTTGGCGGGACGTCGAAGGAGCAATCGGTGGTGATTGCGGCACCTGCTGCGTTTGCGTGGACACCGTGTCCGAGCGACGTGGCTGCGGCTGCTGGGGAACCACGAAGCTGGGCGGAACAACTGGAGGCAAGTGGTGTTGCAACTGGGGCTGTGGTGCAGCTTCTTTTGGGGCCGTAAATTGCTGTGGAGGAGCTTCTTTTGGGGCAGCAAATTGCTGTGGAGGAGCTGCTCTTGGTGGAGCTGCTAGCTGCTGCGGTTGCCCTGCTTTCGGTGGAGCTGCTAGCTGCTGTGGTTGCACAGATTTTGGTGGAGGAAGCTGATGTGGAGGGCCTGATTTCGGTGGAGCGAGCTGCTGTGGAGGACCTGATCGCAATTGAGCCATTTGCTGCAGTGGCGCCGCTCTGGGAAGGGCCATTGGCTGCAGCGGAGCCTTTTGAAGTGGAGCCGCTTGAACTGGAGGCTTCTTAACGATGGCCGGCACTTGTGGAGTGGCCTGTGCATACGAAACAGCCGTCAGCTGAGTTAAGGAGTTTGGTTTCGTGTTATTCAACAGCTTCTCGTTGGGATAGGTTATCTCCATGGGCGTAGCCGGTGGTGTGGGAGTATTTAGGCTGTAGGAGATGGGTGTTAGGTTCTCCGCAGGTGGCTTAGTGGTCGGCGGAGCCAGGGAATACGGTGTGCTGAGCTTGAAAGAGGGCGGATTGGCCACCGGGGTGCTGGGCATTTGGAGATTCAGTGGTGCAGCTGCTGCTGCTGCTGCCTCAACTGATTTGCTTTCCTGAACCTGCATAAACTCAATCGTATCGTCGTCGTCTGCATCGGGAATCGCTTTGCTTTGCGGCGGTGTCACCGAACGGCGTCTCTTGAGAGTGGAATCCACTGCCAGGGAGGAATCTTCCACCTCATGCTGCTGATTGATGGCCTGTTGCAGCTCCATGGTGGCGGAGAGCAGCTCCTTTCTTATCAAGAATTCCTCGAGCACGGAGGCTCCGTTTTCGTTGCCTCCCGGCGGTTTGGCCTTCAGCTTCTCCGGTGTTTCGAAGTTGAGTTGAGGTGGAGCCATAATCCTGGCCTTGTTTTCCTGATGATCGTTGTCGGGTTTCTCGGGGGATTCCTCGTTCTCCGTGTCATCCAGACAAATGAGTTCCGGCGAATGGCTGCCACTGCGGCTGCGTGAATAGCTGCGACTGCGACTGCTGGGACTGCGACTGGGGCTACGACTCCTGCTGCGACTGGGACTCCTGCTCCGGCTCCTGCTGTCGTAGTTTCCTCCGCCTCCTGGCATTCAAGCGAGCCATTTCCGATCTTCGCTTGGGCAGCAGGTCCTTCAGGCCCTCCAAATAAGTGTTGTACTCCAGTTTATTGGGTCGCAGCCTGGCATAGAAAAGTAATGAGTGCTGGGAAGGTTTTCCGGAGGGGATTTCTACTCACCAGCGCATGCTGCGTCGCTTAAAGTAGAGATTGGGCCACCGGCGGCGTTGCAGCTGCAATTGCCTAATCCTGCGCAGCGTTTCGGCTCGTGTGGAAGGCGGCTGGTCCGCCTTGATCTCCGGCAGCTTCTCATCCTCCTCCGGTTTTGGAGGAGCCTCCGCTTTATCCTTGATCTTCTGGGGGCGCTCCTTGCTGACCGCCGCATCCATCAGGGCGTCGTACTCCCCCTCCTCGTGGCTGTACTCATCGCTGCTCAGCTGCGAATTGGAGGAGTCGTAGATCTCCACGTTGGACATTTCGGCTGTAATTCGGACGACGGTCAGGTATGTACATCTTTACCATTAACCCCCAAAAAAAACAGAAGAAAAAAAACAACTCACGCGCTCACGTCTGCAATTTTCGCCCAACAAAAAAGCGTCTGCCGGCTCAGTATAACGTTCCACCGCCGCGCTGCCTTTTGCCGCTGCTGAAAGCCACTTAGCACCTTGGTCCAAGACCCCAGAAAGGTTAATTCGGTTCTAAAGTTTTAAGCCCAGTCTTAAAGCCCTTACTTTCAGCGAAAATCAAATTTCCAATTGAGAGAAAAAGAATTCGGCGTTAAATTTCGCGAAAGATTTTTGACAGGCATTTAGTGTGGACGCAAACCATTAGGGTTGCCAGGTGTCAGCAGTGAAGGGAAAAATACCAGCTTAAATACTGTTTAATACTAAACGCAACGAAAAGTGCGCGAATTTGGAATATGAGTTATTTTGAAAGAAAAGTTTTATAACCCTTACTGAATCTCTTATCTGTAGTATCTTAGCTTTAATATGATTTAATCCTGTTCCCTTGAAATGCAGATTTTTCTTTAATTGAATTTAAAAACATCTGACTACCACTTGTTCAAAAATTAACAATTTAAGAGCCTTTCTAAGATCTTACTTCAAATAATTCATTTAAAGAGTAAAAGTCGTTAAAAAAGTAGTATGAAGCGCATGCAGCTTGGCAACACTGGTGAAAAATACGATATGAACAAAATACCAAAAGCAGGAAATACCAGTTTTCCGATTGTTCACCGGTGGCCACTTCATTGCACGCGGACGGTCATACCGTTTGGCTTACAAAAGAAAAACAAATCAATTTCGCACAAAAAACATTGCCAAAAAGGTAAATGGCGGGCACTACGGCGCCGAGTGATAGATATGTAGATGTGATCAGTGTTTTGCAAATAGTTTCCGACCAGTGACATTTGTAAACAAAGGACAAGGGTCTTCCTTACATATTATATATGTATATATAGGTGCAGATATATATATATACGCCAGGGAATAACCGATAAGAGCGCCGCAGCTGCTGATTGATAGCCCTCCAAGTGGACTTTGTGTGGTGATAAGTTTGTGGGTGGCGATGCGATCGAGGATCGGATCGTGAATTGATAGCCATAAAGACCAACCACGTCACGCCACCCCACGTCTCTCCCGCACACACACTCGCACACGTGGGCCAGCTGAGTATATACGTATATATATGTTTGCGCAAGAACTCTTTTGTTGTACTTTATACATGCATACTTACATATATGTATGGTAGGCGATCGAAAAAGTAAACTAATTTAATGCAAGCAGTTCAACAATCAACGGCGGGGTCACCAATTGAATGCAACAGAAATACAATCAATTTGATTCAGTGAATTTTTGGCGTATATATAGTATATACCATGTACTATGGAAGGCAGGGACTGTTATCTCTTGACCTTTTACAAGGACCTTTTTGTGTACATATCGTATCATATAATTTTTAATCATCAGGAAGAAATTTCTTGTTATACTTTCATATAATCCTAACCCTATGGGTTTCATATATTATGACACAACTAAGTGGGTTCCATAACTTAAGTTAATATATTCAGACACGGTTTTATATTACGTGTCAGAATATTAGGTTTTTGCTTTACCTGATTTTTTAATAGATAATTTTTTGATTAAAAACAATTTATTAATGAATTATTATATAATTATAATTGGAAATTAAATACTTAATTATAGCCGAACAAATATCTGTTCAATTTAAAATTAGCTCTGCTCCATTAACCTTTAATGCAAAGGTGGAAATTGTTTAAATTTGTTGATTCTTGAGCAATGTTTGTTCCCAAACATTTTTTAGAACAATAATACGGACATTAAGTAAATTAATAATAGCTATATTTTTATCTCACTTAAATCCCCAAAAAGCTAATTTAATGACTATAATATGAATGTCAATTACGTTTTTCTACGACAACGACAAGTCACAATTTATGGTTAAAGTTCAAACGTTGAGCAAGTAATTTTTCACATCATTAAAATGGCTATTAAAACTTTAGATCTCCCCGAAACGCCTCTCTAAATATAAAAGTAACACTAGAATAGCTTTATTCCCTAGCAGTAATATTTGCACACTTTATTTTTGGAGTACCCATAGTCACACGTAGACCTGCTAATTTTAGTGATTATTTATTTACTTTCGCGAGCTTCCACTGTGAAGTCTCTGCGATTTGCCCCATAATGACTATCCGTCGGTCAGCCGGACTTTGTCCACCCACAGTGGCTAGTGCTATTTCCAAGGGAGCAGTCATCGATTGGCCAAGGCTGATTAGATTCCTCCTCCTTAGCCAAAGCTATAGCTATATAGCAGACCCGAGATATCTGGCGAATATCTCTGCGGTTGGGTGGTTGCCCCAGTCCATTTTTAGCTGGTGGTGCAGGTGGTTTAGTTGCCTTCCCGCTTTTCACGCTTTCTTTTAACTTGGCCGCGTGCTTTTGAGTGAGTTTTTAACGGTCATAAACGAGGTGTTTCATCCATAAAACAAGGGGGTTTACGAGGCACTACAAACTACGAAAAGATGGGAAACAACCTACATAGCTATAATTAAAGTTTTTATTACGTAAAGCCTGCAGTTTTATTGGTTAAATACTACTGACTACTTACTACAGAGAAAAAAACCGATATGAAATAGGGTTATTTCTATCTTATTTCATATCAGTATGATACTTTATCATATCATAAAAATACCAAATTTAGTATTTTCTGAACAAATAATATAAAAAAAACATTAACATAATCTTTATTCATATCAAAATGACATGAATAACTTCATCTTTAAAAAATATCAAATTGACCATTACTTGCAGATCAAAATGGTGTCGCTGGAGAAGCTGAAACAATTGAGACTGATCCACCTGTGCATCGCGCTCACCTTCTTCACGAGTGGGCTATGCATCAACTTTATCCAGCTGCTGATGCACTTGCTCATTAAGCCCATAGACAAGCGCCTCTTCCGCAAGCTGATGTACTATGCCTGCTATTCGCTCTACTCCCGTAAGCATATCTCCTTACTAGGATAAAGAAAAGTAATCTTATTAATCTGTAAAATCCTTTAGAACTCATCTTCGTGGCCGATTGGTATGCCGGCAGCAAGATGACCGTCTACATGGACAAGGATGACTTCGAGAATCATGCCGGCAAGGAGCATGTGCTGCTGATCATGAACCACAAGTACGAGATCGACTGGCTCAACGGCTGGATGATCTGCGACAAGTTGGGCGTGCTGGGCAACTGCAAGGCCTACGCCAAGAAGGCCATTCGCTATGTCCCGATCATCGGCTGGGGCTGGTGGCTCGCCGAGTTCGTCTTCCTCAATCGCAACTTCGACCAGGACAAGACCATCATCACGGAGCAGCTCAAGGTGGTCTACTCCTATCCCGATCCCACCTGGCTTCTGCTCAACGCCGAGGGCACTCGTTTCACACCCGCCAAGCACGAGGCATCCGTGAAGTTTGCCCAGGAGAGGGGAATGCCGGTGCTGAAGCATCACTTGATTCCACGCACCAAGGGATTCACCGCCAGTTTGGCGCCCATTCGCGGTCTTTGCCCCGTCATCTATGATATTAACCTGGCCTACAGGCCCACAGATAAGGTAAATATTATAAGAAAACCTTTCTACTTATCAAGCATTTTTAGTTATATAATTAAGAATTTTGTTTTATTTTATTTATGCAGAATTTTGCATTGCGCACTTGTATATTTTTGATAACTCTAATCAGACAATTCGATAATGTCCTACTGATTGCTTTTGTCTAATCTAATCTCTTATTTTTAATCGGATTATCTGGTTGCTAAAACAAATGAGTGCGACACTTCACTAGCACTTTAAATTAAATAGTCATGTTTGTTCTATGCGATATCGATCGGTTTTAATGAGAACATTTCAAGGTTAACATACATTTTGAGTGCACAGAACTTGCACTTTTTGTACTTTGCTAACATAGCAACTATTTTCTTAGAACCAGAATTATTTTTCCATCTAATGATAAGTGCATGACACTCGGCTTATTGCAGTTTATTACGGGTTTAAAAAATACGTGGTAATTTAATGGCTGTAAAAGGTTATAAAGCTATTGGCGGAATGTATGATTGTAAAACCATTATTCATACATACAATTTATGAACGGCGGTGCCCTTTATCTTATTGTAGGCTGATTTCAAGGTTATAAAACCCAACTAATCAAGTTTTTAATTATATTTTAGGTCCCTGCCACCATGCTCAGTCTGCTGCATGGAAAGGGCGTGGAACCCCACCTGCTAATGAGGCGCATTCCTTTGGAACAGGTGCCCGAGGACGAGAAGGAGGCCGCCGCCTGGCTGCAGAATTTGTTCGTGGAGAAGGACAAGATCATCGACAGCTTCCTGGAGACGGGCAGCTTCTTCAAGACATCCGGCATTAAGGAGGTTCCCGCCTACGTGAACAAAGCCCGTCTCTGTTCGCTGGTGAATTTCGCCTGCTGGGCGACGTTTTCGCTTTCCTGCATTTTCTACTATCTGATCACTTCCCTGTTGGCGGCCAACTGGACGGCCCTCATCACCGCTTGTTCCGTGCTGGGACTTTGTAAGTATTGACCTATAGTTTTCAGGGGATTTTACATTAGATATGATTTCTTTTGTTATTAATTCTTTATTATTAAAGATTTAGGGTAAAGTCATTCAAATTGATTAGTTTTTTTTGTAATATTTATCAAGCTATTTTGACCAAAAATAACTAACTTATATTATTATATTAGTTACTTAATAGTAAATCACAAAAGGCATATAGTTCTCAGGGGATTTATATTACTTATTTTTTTAATTATTGAAGACTTGGGGTAAAATTATCAAAATTGTTTAGTTTTTTTGTATATATTTATAACGCTATTTTTAACCAAAAATGACTTATTTTTTTAGTATATTAGTTACTTATTTTTTATTATTATATTTTTAGAGTAAAATTTATTTTTTTGTAATACTTATAATGTTGTTTTGGCCAAAAATAACGAATTTATATTATTAAGTTAAATCCAAAAAGTAATTCAATCAAGAAAATATGATTATAATTAGCATAATTAATGTGGTTCCCCTACTAACCTTTATATCTTTAATCTCTATCAAATCTTTTCTAATTAACTCATCTATTTTCCAGTTTACTGGCTAATGGGCCAGGCCATCAACAAGACGCAGATCAGCAAGGGATCTAGTTATGGATCCTCCAAGCCGAGCACAAAATAACTTTCGATTTCGCATTTAGTTACGATTGTTGTCGAACTCAATTATCTACAAGTGACTTTGTAAAAGAAAAGGCAGTCCTCTCACAAATCTCTCTGCTAAACGGATCAATTCGCGATTCCTCCCCCGGACGATTTAAAGTTTAACGATTTTGAACAGAAGTGCATGTTTTTGTCTAAGTTTATGGTTACAAGGTAACTCCTCCCGCACACTGGAGCCATCAATTTGCGTACATAGTTGGTAGTTGTATACCTAAGTGGAAATTTAATTGTTTGATCAATTGTATTTTGGTGAGCATTGCAATAATTAAATTAAACAGAACGTGAAATGTTTGTTTGTTTGTTTGCTTTTTTTTGATAAGGACAAGCAGTGCGCTGATAACGAACAGCTGATGGGTGGGTGAGCAAGCAGTGCACCTAAAAAGAGTACCCTTAACGTTAAAGAATTCAAGAAGAAGAAGTTAAAGAATTTCAAGAATTGTAAACATTATATTGTAAATATAATTGGTACATAAACAAAAAGTATTATATGCTCAATAGGTATGATTATAAACCAATAAACACTAAAATTTACAACAGCGATAATAAATCCGAAGGTACAACCGAATGCGGAGGCCGCGAACTTAGCACTATATTATTCATTTAACAATTGCCCATATTATTATTTATCAGCCAGTTAAACTATCGGTTCTTAATCAGTTGTAACGATCAAAAGCAGTGCACGTTCCGTTATTTAACCTTATATTAATACCAATGTATATATATACAAACACACGCGCAGCATAGAATCGGGTTTATTCGGAGATAAGCGACCGCCTGGTTTCCTATTGACTGATAACAGGTGATTAATAGTGTTAGTTATAGGTTTCTGGGGTGTACTATCGCCGAGATCCATATCTCTGGGGGCCCGGGGACGCCTAAAAGAGTCAATTTCATTCAGTCGAATTCTACTGGTTGGTAGAACAAGTTGCAACTTCCTGGGTCTCGAAATTGTTAAGATTCCGCAAAGATAGGTGAGTGTGATTGTGTGGGTGTAAAAGGAACAGTGTAATATCGAAAAAAAGAATATTAACTAAACAGTGTTTTTAAAATATAATAAAAAGTTTTATAACTCTTTATTTTTAAGTGCTATAAATTAATCTAAAATTTCAATTATCTCCATTTTACGAGTTTTGTTAAGAACTTTTATAGAAAAAATAGAATAATCATGGTGAAATTGTTGGCAATTAATTAGTTAATAACTTGTTTAAAGTTCATGGTGAATTGCATATTTTTAATTGAATCATTGAGTTGTGTAATTTGCTTACCAATGCATATTATCAATGGAAATCCACAGTTCTGAGATAAGGAATATTTTTTTTAATTTTATTGGTGCTCACATAATAGAGTTCTTACTGTACCTGTGCTTTCCATGTGTGTGTTTACGGGTCTATAATTTAAGCATTCACTTTTTTCATGACACATGGGAGCAAAGTTTGAGTGCGGCCATAATTAAGTCGATATCGCGCGCTGGACATATTTATTAACTGCATTGCAGAACATGAAATTCGATGTGTGTTACGTAAAGTTGGCCCAATTGACATTACATATTTGATTTTATTTAATTTATTTTTAGCTTAGGATGTCGCATCTCAGGGGATTGGGGCGACTGCTGATCGCCGTGACCTTCTTCACGTGCGGATTCTTCGTTAACATTGGACAGCTTTTGCTGATCGTCCTTGTAAGGCCCTTCGACAAGCGGCTTTCCAGGAGTCTTATGTACTACCTGCATTACTCTTTCTACTGCAGTAAGTATGACATATATTATCTTCATTATTATCATGCCTTTTAGAAAAAATGTTTAATTTTTTATCACATTTCCGGGGAGAATTTTCAATTTGCCTAATGAAACTTATGTTTTATAAGTATTTCCTGAATCTTTTTTCTTATCGATTTTAGTATGATTTTCTTTGATACATCTCAAGTTTTAGATAACAAAGTACCAGTTAATTAAGTTTTAAATTCGTTAATGAAACTTGAAAATAGTTTTAAAAGAAGTTCATAAAAAGTAAATTATACACAGAAAGAATTTTTAATAAATATTGCACTCAAATTGAGAACTGTTTAATCAAAATATAACCAAGTTCTCACTTTAAAGGCAAAATACTCACTTTCAGTAAACAATTTTAAAATAATATACCTTGGAATTGAGTTTTTTTTAAAGATTTTTTTTCTCTAAAAAAGGGGGAAACAACAAGGTAAAAGTATTAGGCTTTTTTTTCAAAATTTGTCCACAAAATCAGTACTTCCTCAAATTGGGAATACAAATAAATTATTTAAGAACGTCAGTCTTCTTGAAAAATGTTCTCTGTCTAGAAATCGGGTATTGTAAAGGATATTAATTTATTTTTATAAATTTTTCCCCATTTAAGTCCTAGTCTGTGTGGCGGAATGGTATGCGGGCAGCAAACTGAGGGTCTACATCGATCCCGAGGACGAGAAGAAATTCTTCGGCAAGGAACATGGATTGTTGCTAATGAATCACACATACGAGATTGACTGGCTAACCGCATGGATGATAACCGACAAGCTGGGAAATCTGGGAGGCACCAAGGCCTATGCCAAGAAGATGCTCCGCTACGTTCCAGTTTTGGGATGGGTCTGGTGGATGGCCGAGTTCATCTTCCTCGATCGCAACTTCGAGAAGGACAAGGTGGTGATCAAGCAACAGCTTTCGGAGGTGTTTTCCCATCCCGATCCTGTGTGGCTTTTGCTCAATGCTGAGGGAACCCGCTTTACTGCCGCCAAGCACGAGTTGTCCGTTAAGTTTGCCCAGGAAAGAGGTCTTCCTGTACTCAAACATCACTTAATTCCACGCACCAAGGGATTTACCACCAGGTATGGAATGGGAAATATTTTATTATTAAAATTTACATCAGCTAATGATTAAATTTAATTATGATTTTAAATAAATTACAGTCTTCCCACCATGCGAGGCATTTGTCCTGCCATTTATGATATTAACCTGGCTTTTAAGAAGAATGCTGAGGTAAGAACCTTTTATTTTCAAAAGATAAATAGAGAAAAATTTTATAATAATTTTTATCTTTGTATTTATATATTATTATATATTTTATTTCATAGACAAAGCCCACCATGTTGTCCCAGTTGAATGGTGAACCCGTGGAACCCTACATGTACATTCGTCGCGTGCCATTGGAAAAGGTTCCCGATGGTGAAAAGGAGGCCGCCCAGTGGATGCAGGACTTCTTTGCCGAAAAGGACAAGATCATCGACAGTTTCCACGAAACCGGCAGTTTCTTCAAGACTTCTGGCGTCAAGGAGGTTCCCGAGAAGATCTACAAGCCGCGTCTGAGCACCCTGTTCAACTTCTTGGGCTGGGCCACCTTTTCGGTCCTCTGTATTCTGAACTATTTGGTCAGCTCCTTGGTTGCAGGCAACTGGATTGGCTTCATCACCGTTTTATCCATCTTGGGAGGATGTAAGTTGAGAGGATGTACTTCAAGGGATCTCCACTTAATTTGGTTGATTTATTTTCAGTCTATGGCCTCATGGAATACGCTGTCAACGCTTCGAAGATCAGCAAGGCCTCTGCTTATGGAGCAGCTGCCAAGAAATAGATTTTAGTCCCTGAGTTTTGTGAACTCGGCGACATGTAATCATTACTCGACTGCAAATATTTAAAAATTTAATGTACATTGAGTCAAATGTACAATAAAAAATTGAAGTAAACTGAATAAAATAATATTTTCTATGAGTTGTTTTTGTTTAGTAATTGCTGCACACGTAATTACATCGTAAAAATGTAATATAAATTTAATCAGATAGATTGCATCATAACTCGGGCTACAGTACTGGTAAAAATTTTAGTAGCATTAATTATAATACTTCGAATTCATAAGAACAACAATTTTAAAAATGCAATAATATTTGCTTTTTATAAAATATCCTAGAAAAGGGTCAATAATGTAAATCGATGGAATTAAATGAAAAAAATTTATGGTCGGATAATAAAATGTATTTTTATGATTTTAAATTAAATTTAGTTTAAACGTAATAACAAATCATATAACAAATATCAAAAAATTAATAAACTTTCAAATTTGAATGGATATCACGATAACTATGGTGTGACCTTTTGCGCACATCGATAGTCGCCATAAAACATCGATGTTTCCTAAAATATCACAACATCGATGCATCGATGTTGCTATCGATGTTTCTCCACCTCTAATACTGATTGCAACTTCCAATTTTTTTTACAAAAAAATCCAATGAAAATTAAAAAACATCTTTTCGTACCTTTAATGCAATAATATGTGCATTTTGAAGGTGAGTCAGTGCAGCGCCGTGTCGAAAACGGTTTTTCGGCGAGTTTTTATGGAATCTGCCGAGCAGAGTGAAAAGTGAAACGTAACAAGAAAAAACTTTTGGGAGAGAGTTTTGTGGAGTTCCTGGGGGACAAGGTCTCCAAAGGAATGTAGCCCCCAGTTCCCAAGAATATATATATATATATAGTACTGGATTCTACCCGAAGCTCCCTTTGTTCGCGTCTTAAAAGAAAGCGGACGGCTGATGACGTTGAAAGCGAGTTACGTTTGTGTTCCCCCCAGTAAAATGGTTGGGTTGCCCGTGTGCCTGTGTGTGTGAGGACCCCGCCGAGGGTCAGGGGTCCCAAGAGGGTCCACAGCGATCCTACGGGTACGTAAACCCCGAAAAAAGTTCTCCAGGAAGTGCAACCTGGGCACATATATGCGTTGAAAATATATACATACATTCAGATATACTTGCATGCGTGTACAAATGCCCCCGCACACCAACACCAGCAGGAGTGTGTGTGTGAGTGGGGGGTGTGCGTGTGTGTGTGTGTGCCAGCGACAGCTGACGTTGGGGGTATTGCAAGAAGAAGAAGAAAAAGACGAAAGCGAAACTTTTTTTTACTGTGCCACTTTTCGATCGTTGTAAATGGAAAATAACTCCAACTTGACTCACGTCACTTACATCTGTACATCAATTCGGTAATGTCATACATTTTGTCGACAAAAAAAATTAATTTCTAAACCCTTTCATACGAACGATAATTTTTTTGATTAGTTCACATTTAAGGCAAGCCCCTATCGTAGGCCTAAATTTTGGAACATTCCTAGTAAGATCAATCTTATAAATTACAAATTTTTTTTAAGTTCGTACTCGAAAAGTTGAGATACATATATTATTTATGTTTTTTTATCATAAATAGGTGTTATAATATCTTAAGAAAATATTATAATAAATAATATAAATAAATATAAATAATATAATATAGTAAATTCTCTAACCAGCCTAGTCAAATCCAGATAAGAAAAAAAATTATAAGAGCTTAGGAAAAGTTCCATATAAGGCGAATGAACTGCCATGATTCTTCAAAAACTAGACCGAATTTTGTAGATTTCGGTTTTAGGGGTTTAAGATTGTAATTTGGTGAATTGTACAGTTTTTGATAATATTTTTCAACTGAATTTAGTGAAAACTGTATTAAAATAATGGGTACTTTAGGGTCCAAACTTCGTCACTCATAACTACTCTTCTTTTCCTGTTGACTTAATCATCTTAATTGGTTCTCCTATGTTTTTCACTCACAGCATGCCGATTCAGGCTCCCTCATGGACAGATTTTCTGAACTGTCCCATCTGCTGCAATGAATTCGCGGCCAGCCAGCGATGCCCGGTCAGTCTGGGCTGCGGGCACACCATCTGCAAGCTCTGCCTGACGACCCTCTACAACCGGCAGTGTCCCTTCGATCAGGTGGGTTTAATAATACCAATACATAATGATCTTAACTTATTTTCTATCCCTTTTCCAGACCGTGATTGTCAGCGAGATCGACAATCTGCCCATTAACCATGCTCTGCTGCAGCTGGTCAAGGACTCGGAGCTCCTGGAGTTGGGCCCACCACCGCCCAGCGTGCAGAAGCTGGAGCCGGAGCAGCTCAAGTGCTACCAACTGGGACAGCGGTGCATCGAGGAGCTGGCCCTGCACCTGAAGTCCTTCCTCAACCTGAACGGCAATGGCAATCTGCTAACACGACCCATGCAAAGGAAACTGGTTACCCTGGTCAACTGCCAACTGATGGAGGAGGAGGGACGTGTAAGGGCACTCCGGGCGGCCAGATCTTTGGGCGAACGCACAGTAACCGAGCTGATTCTCCAGCACCAGAATCCCCAGCAGCTGAGCTCGAATCTTTGGGCGGCGGTGCGGACGCGGGGATGTCAGTTCCTGGGACCCGCCATGCAGGAGGAGGTGCTCAAGCTGGTGCTACTCGCTTTGGAGGAGGGTTCGGCGCTGTCGCGCAAAGTGTTGGTCATGTTCGTGGTGCAGCGACTGGAGCCGCAGTTTCCGCAGGCCTCCAAGACGAGCATCGGGCATGTGGTGCAGCTGCTCTACCGCGCCAGCTGCTTCAAGGTGTCCAAACGCGAGGCGGACTCATCGCTGATGCAGCTCAAGGAGGAATTTCGCACCTACGACGCTCTGCGGCGCGAACACGATGCCCAGATCGTTCAGATAGCCACCGAGGCGGGTCTGCGGATTGCGCCGGAGCAGTGGTCTTCCCTGCTGTACGGCGACGTGATGCACAAGAGCCACATGCAGAGCATCATCGACAAGCTGCAGACGCCCAGTTCGTTTGCCCAATCGGTCCAGGAACTCGTGATCGCCCTGCAACGGACCAGTGATCCCGCCAAGCTGGCCAGTCTACATCATCATCTCAAGTACCTGGCCAATATCGATCCCTGTGCCGAGTTGGCCCCCTGGCCGGATTTGGCCGAAGCCCTGGATGCAGTGCGTCATTCGGTCGTGGGTTTGGTCAACTTCCTGCAGCATCACGGCGTTCGCAAAGCGCAGGACGGAATCAGTGGCGGTGGCAGCGGCGGCGGGACGGCCAACAGCAATCCCAAGTACAAGATCAGCCTGTGCAGGGATTTGAATGTACGACGGGTGTGTCCCCGCGGTGCCAGCTGCACCTTTGCCCACTCCCAAGAGGAGGTGGAGCGCTACCGCGCACGAAATCGTGGCAAACATATAAAGACACCACTGGCGCTGCCACCGATGGGCGGTGGAGCCATCAAGAAGCCACTGGGAGAGCCGGATGGACCGGCTTTGGGTGTGCCCACCATGCTGCCCATGTCGCCGATGCATTTCATGGGCTCTCCTCGGGGATATCTGGAGCCCAGCTTGGGTCTGTCGCCAGGAGGACAGCCGCCTCCGCCGCCGCCGCTTCTGCATCCCTCGCATCACAGTCCCATGGCCCGACTCATAGTGCCCAACCGCTATGATCCTCGCTTCACTGGCTATCAGCCGCGGAATCCCTCGCCCAGGGATTACCAAAATAATCCACAGCAACGCAATGCCAACCCACCGAACTTTAGTGTGAACAGCAACATGCACAAGGGCTATTTGATGCCCGGCGGAGGCGGCAACGGTGGAGATGTCTTCCATCTGGGAAATCCCTGGGAGCAGAGCTACCTAGCTCAGCAGCAGCAGCAGCAGCATCCTGCACAGCATCCTCCACAGCAGCAGCCACAGCAGCCACCGTCCAGCAAGCCGAATCCCAGCCGACCGTTGTCGATTTTAGCCGCAACAGCTGATACCTCATTTTATGAAAAGAAACCGCCGAATAGTGTTAGCATAGATCTGGACAGAGCCGCGGAGGCCGATGTGGATGCAGTGCCTCTGTTCCGGCGATCCAACAACAACAACAATCACAACAACAACAACAATAGCAGCTCCCACAATAACAACAATCATGGCTCATCGCTGCTGTTCTGGAATAATACGGGCAAAGAGTCTGCGAACTTTGTTCGATCGGATTCCATATTGGATGACGATGCCTCCACATTCGATGTGCCCACCGGCTCCTCGATGCTAAGTCGCTACGGACCCATTTGTCCCAAGAGCAGCACGCAGAGCAGCTGGAACAACTGGCTGCTGGAGAACGACAGCGATCTGGGTTATGGTGGCTACAAGAGCGACAGGAACGATAACTTCAATGCTAGTAAGGTAGGTGTGGGTTACGGTTTTATTGTCTAATAATCGGGGGTGCGTATATAGACCTTTCTATATTTTTAAGCAATATTTTTTATAGTTTGTGGGTTCGGCAACAAGCACACCCTATATAGATAAACCACTTATTTTTGGGGTATCATTGAACCAGTGCTGCCATCACTCAGCTTGTGCGTATACGTAAAAGCATTTCAAGTAACTACATTGGTAATACAAAAAAAATTCAATATCGGCGTCAAACCCGAATAAGAGTCGTTCAAATCTGAAATTTTTTTCTTAAAATAAAGGAGAGAATAAAAATTGAGACAAATTTAAAATGTTTTCCTCTTCCTTTTGCTACAGAAAAAATTGTACTATAAAGAAAATCCATCTACTGCTTTACGTCTCTTTGATAATTTTTAAAAATAATTATTCTTTAAGTGCCGAACTGTAAGAATGATGGTTAAAAAGGCGTTTTAGCATAAATAAACAGGTTTATACCCTTTCGACTAGCATAAAAAATAACACTCAAAACCTAATTATTGAAAAAAGGACAGATTTCCGGATAGGGAATGTTTGAAATTTTTTCCGGATAAAGCTGGCAAAATGGCAGCACTGCACTGAACCCCAGAGAAACGCATTATTTTCAGTAACTTAATCTTCTTCCCTATTCGTTATCTTCCCAAAAAAACAGCAGCAGCCGCCGATGTGGGGCAGGAAGCCACAGCTAATGTCGGAGGATAGCTTCGAGGGCGGCATCGATAGCGGCATGATGCTGCAGCTGGAGAAGAACCTGGTGGACATCGTGGATCCCGATGACAGCGGGATCAAGGTGGACTAGATCTAGGACTAGCTACCACAGAGGATATTTCTATATAGGTGTTTATATAGATCGAGGGAAGTGGGAAGAGAATATGTATAATGCAATCATTTTACACATCGTTAGAGGTTTGTACCGCACAGTTCAAACTTTGGTAGAATTTCAAATGTAATTGTAGTTAAAACTGATCCGACTGATCCGTTATTGGATCGGAGCCAAAACAAAACATCAATTGGGTTGGGTACCGTCTATTAGAATCTATTAAATAATTGTCTAATTAGTTCATTGTTCGAAATTTTGTGGAAATGTGTTGAAATCATGTTCGTGTTATGTTCCAAATTCGGGGATTGTGTGTCTAGCAAATGAAAAACAGAAAAATAAACTCAATTTAGATGGTAAAACTTTGTGTGTAGCCTAGAATTCAGCTCAGACTCGTAGATCCTGCTGCATATAGAATACGATCCGTAGGAATTCCCCACAAAAAGGCGATCGCGAGCGATGAGGATGAGGTGTATGCAAACGCTTGTTGAGATCAGGCAACATCCAGATTTTAAAGCAATTTTCTCAGATAAAACAGAAACTGTGCACTAATTAACTGAATCATGATCACAAGACTTCAAGATCCAAGTAAAACAAAAAATTCTTTTCCAAAACCGTGCGTTTTTATCATCTTTCCCTGATTATTTGTGATCAAATTTTGATTGATTGTGTAACGCTGTAAACATAGATATAAACATATATATTTTTTTTAATTATTAACTATTTCAAAACGCTATTTTTATATATACAAAAATCAGCAGGGCTGAAAGGACCTGCGAATCCTTTCGCTCTCAAAACCCAATCACACACATACACTAACACGCATACACACTGAGCCACAGGACACGAACGATCATTTGTATGTGTGTGAAATGAATGTTTATATTTCTTAAAGAAATTTTAATAACGCTATTGTGCGATGTTGTTAACTATTGTACTATATATTATTAAATTTATTGAAAATAAATTAAAATCACGTCCCCTTCTCCCATTTTGTAAACTGTGAGAAAAGTAAAGTACAGATAAAGTACAGAAAAGGTGACGAATAGAACAGAAAGTTGAATGTCAGTCAGGGCTTTGAGAACATTTACACCTACCTACTACTCTATGCAAATATAAATTTATATTTATATCTAGATACTAACCAATTTGTGCGCTCTATTATTAATATTATATATTAATGTCAGTTGAGCCCGCGTTTTGCTTTCAAGACTTTGTACATCATTTTGATTTGAAGCAAAAGCGAAAGATTTTGTAACTTGTATTTGTTAAGCGATGAAATCAGGAACCTTATATATACATATATATTACTGCGCTTGATCATAGAAGAATATAACATATATATCTTTACAAATATATTTATTGTTAACGAGTTTCGATGCCGTGTGTGTAGTAGAATCCATGTAAAAATATATTCCCCGTCCCGGGGAGTATGTGTTCAGTTGTGAGCTAGTTAAAATTGATCGAAGCAATTTTAAAACAAAATAACATACATTTAAATGTATTTTCCTATTACTCAGAAACTAAAGCATTCAATGTACAGAAGCGAATCGAGGGAGGTACTTGAGATTCTTCAGTCTATTTGTCTCCCGGGAAAAGTGAAAATATAGAAGAAGGCTGGGTGGAGGGGCGTCTAACTGCGTACTTAAGTTCCGATTTAGAGATCTAGATAAAGATTCAGATTCAGAGCCAGATTTAACGTTCTCCGCCCGGCCTTTGGCTGTGGTGAAGTTTTTTTTTAGCTTAAACCCAATGGGTTCAGTTCATAATAACGTATTTGTTGAGTTGAGTTTTGTAACTTTATAATTTACAATCAGTCCAGCAACCCGCCAAATCCCCCAAAACTTTCAAACTGACCGAGGCTCTTTTTTATACAGATCGTGCCGTGCAATTCACACATACACACAGACATTTTCTATTTACACACACCTATTTAAATGCATATATATATATTTATACATATGTTAATTTAATGTATTTTTGGTATTATCACTCAATGTTTCTACCCTAAGCAAATTTCGAGTTCTGTTAATCAAAGTGGAAAAAACATGCAAAAAAAAAAATTATTTATTTTATTTACCAATAAATTTTCACAAAACTTTTAGTTGTTTCGGTTTCTGTACCATCTCTACCATTATTTTAAGTTCAAGATGAAAGATAATGTGCGAAACATATCAAAGCGTTGAAAGCGAAGAAAGAAACCGAGAAACTTAACAAAATAACCACCAGCAAAGTATAAGGAACTAAGAACACCAATAGCAACCACCAGATAGGTAATTTAATGGAATACAATACGAAATCCTATAGTTAACGCAACTAGTTACAGACAATCCGCATAACTTAATAAGATAAACTTAAAATATGGTAATAATGATAATAGGCGCTTCTGTTCCTCAACTTAGGGTTAGTGATGTTATAGATACAACAGACGATTTTGCAGTAGCTCAGATCCAATAAGTCTATTAAAGCCTGCCAGGAGACCGCTTGTCGAACCACTCAATAACATCCTCGATAGAACTGCACTGCAATTCAATAAGTAGATAGCCAGGGGACTCTCTTTCAGCGCATCAAATGTGTTATGGTGAGGACAATACAAAACTCTCAATTTTAACCTAACAACCCCCCCAAAAAGTCGAAGCTCAACAGAAGAGTAAGCCCCTGAAAGGTCAAAGGTCCCGTCTCTGCAAACAAATCGTTGCTGTTTTTGGTGTTATTTATAAGTTGAAGATCCTTGAATTGTGATGATGTGAAATTTACAGTTAACATGCGAAACTAATCCCAGTTCAATGGGAACGAACAAATGTCTTTATATTAAATGCTAATTGAAACTAACTATATACGAGTATAATAATGTATCTAAATACACAAAACCAACACACAACTGGGAAGGAGAAATCAGAGAGGCGTATATTGTATCATAGAACTATGTAAGCAGAGATTGTATTTTACATGCATTCTACAGGAAAGCTAAACCTTCCCCACCAAGCGGGATGTGCTTCTACTCCAACAGATCCCCCAACTGAAATTGGGTCTATGTCCATGTTTATGATATCCCAGAAGAGAAGAGCTCTCAGATATATTTTCATACTTCTATTCGCTTGTCCGTATTATACCATATACCATATAATAAAATTATTTCTAGTCCCATTCTAACGCTGCTGGCAGCTTGATAGTGGGAACTCCAGATAAGAACCATTATATTATTCCCAAAAATATCTTTCTCCATAAAATGTTTATTTCGTTTGTTCGCTCTGGCAGATTAGCTAAGAAACCTCTAGATAGTTTAAAGATTGGAATCAAATCTCTTTTCTAGGGTATCCAAAGTTTCGGACTACCGAAACCGAACATCTCTTCTAGTTTTGTGGAATGTTAATCGATAATGTATGTTCTTGGATGTGCTGAATATGTATATTTATCTTCAAAATTCATTGTAAATGTTAGATATGAAAAACCAAAAGCAAACTAAAACCAAACTCAATTTTGTGTGTGTATGCCTGAAATTCAAATAAAATAAACTTAATCGAATTCTACAATTCAATATGATATGACTTGATATGGTTCTGATTGCCTGGCAATCTGATCTGTTCGTGTGGTTAATGTGGGATTATTGGGTATAGAAAAAGGTTGATTAACTCAATCAGTATATTTTATTTATTTATCTTCAACAGAATTTTATTCATTGAGCTGGGGGTTCCATAGGTTTGGTATATCCAACTCATGGATTTCGCCCAGTTCCAGCATTAAAACTGCTCCATTTTTGGCCTTCTCAATGGCGCGGACTATATTCTCCGCGCAAACCTCCACCGTCTGTCGCTTCACCTTGTTAAAGACGGTCCGCATGCGAGTTTCGTAAAATGGAAAGGTAGTTTTCTTTTCAATATCCTCTAGAATTCCAGTATCCGTATATCCCGGACAGATGGTAATGAAGCTAACGCCACAGTGATCATAATGAATGGGGCTCTAAGAGAAGTATTATTAAAATAAGGATTTTAATTCTTCAGAATTCCCCTCATCAACTTACACCCAAGGCCCGTGTAAAAGTAGTAACACCATTCTTCGTCGTCGAATAAATAGCCATTAAAGGTGTGGGCTGGAGTCCAGCCACCGATGATATATTCACTATGAGTCCACCCTTACCACCTTTTGATTTATCCATGTACCCCAGAGCGATCAAAGTGCTGTTGATAACTCCCACCTTTTAATTACATAAAAATTAAGAAATTATTATTTTAATACTTAATTATTATTCCTCACCAGATTAATTTGTATTGTAAGATCAACCAGACGATCATCCAAAAGCCCACTTCCGTTGATCACCACATCGAAGTGACCAAATCTCTCCGCGGTTGCCTTATAAGCTGCCTCTATGTCCGATTTCTGAGTAATGTCTACTTTTTGATAGAAAATATCCGTATTTTCATTTTTGTTCTTCCACTCATTCAAAAGCTCGACATTCTCAGACAAATCAAAAATGGCCAGAGCCTAAAAAACAAATAATTAAAGTGTGTTTTAAGTCTTTTTCAATGGTTAGTCCACCTTTATTTGCCGCTTTAGCAGTTCTTGCACACTTTTCTGGCCTATGCCACCAAATCCTCCAAGGTAAACCACATTTTTGCCAGCCAAATCCATGTCCCAATGTTAAACGAATATTTTCTTTACAATTCAGTGCAATTCAGTGGCCAGCAACTTGAAAACTAACTTGCGAGCCTGCTCAAAAGATCGGAAACTGCCAAAAGAAGCACCATATCTTCTTTGATATTATCTAACACGTGGCCGATGAGGCTTGATAAAAGGTTCCATAGAAATTAACAGGTTTTTATAATGTTCCTGAGATATGAAACACTCTTAAGTTCTCTTTTGTACAGATAGTCGTTTAATGGTTAGTGCTCATTTGAATATCTTTATGGTGGCTGGCTATAAAGATAATAAAAACTTTTAAAAATTGGATATGGTCTACTTTTAGGGCTTTGCTTTGCATTTTTTGTTATGTTAGGTTGAAGAAAATTTATTAAAATAAAAAAAATAATCTAAACACTGCTCTCTTGGAAATCTAATCTGCTCTTTGCTGTCCGTGTGGCCTTATTAAGTATAGAACAAGCTTGATTAACTTAATCATATTTTATTTATAAGTCACCAAACAATCGAAAGAGATTACAAATTTATGCATATACATTGGAATTAGTCTTCCAGCTGGGGCTTCCACAAGTCTGGGATATCCACTTCCTTGGTCTCACCCAACTCCAGCATTAGAACTGCTCCATTCTTGGCCGTCTCTATGGCTACTACTAAATTCTTGGCGCAATCCTCCGCCTTCTGTTTCTTCACCTTGTTGAACATGGCCAGCATGGGAGTGTCGTAAGTGAAGGTCGTCTTGTTGCCAATATCCTCCAGGAGTCCAGTGTCCGTAAAGCCAGGACAGATGGTAATAAAGCCAACACCAGAGTGGGCGTAATAAATGGGATTCTAAAAAGAAATATTATATTATACTATCTCTTATTATATTAATTAATTAATACATACAGCCAATGCCCTGGTAAATGTGGTAACACCCGTCTTGGCCGCCGAATAAACGGCCATTAAAGCGGTGGGCTGCAGTCCAGCCACTGAGGATATATTCACTATGAGTCCACCCTTACCGCCCTTCGCCTTGTCCATGTACTCCAGAGCGGTCAAAGTGCTGTTGATAACTCCCAGCTTTGGGAAGGGAAAAACTGAATAAAGCTTCCTTAATATTAAATACTAGTTTTCTGTTCCTTACCAGATTTATTTGAATGGTAAGCTCGATCAGACGATCGTTCATCAGTCCACTACCATTGACCACCACATCGAAGTGACCAAATCTCTCAGCGGTCGCCTTATAAGCTACCTCTATATCCGATTTCTGAGTGATGTCGACTTTTTGGTATAAGATATCCGTGTTGGGATTTTCATTTTTCCACTTAGCCAAGAGCTCGCTATTCTCAGTCAAATCGAAAATGGCCAAAGCCTGATAAAGAAAATAATTTGTAGTTTATTTGAAGACTGATTCGATGGTGAACCCACCTTTATTGGCCGCTTTAGCAATTCTTGCACACATTTCTGGCCTATGCCGCCGAATCCTCCAAGGTAAACCACATTTTTGCCGGCCAAATCCATGTCGAAATTTATTTGCTCTGTTTCTGATTCCGTGCAATTCAGTCGGCGGCAATTGGCAAACTAATCTTCGCTAGATTTCGACCCCCTGTTCTGTTCGATCTGAAAAGTGCTAACGACCCTGTCGCAAATGCTCTCCGTTCTCCGCTATAACGGAGCTTTTTGGGAGAGCACTTGATAATATTCTTGCAATTATTAATGATTGAGCTTAACTTGTGCTGCCATTGTGACTTTTTATTAGTTAGATATGGCTTATATTAATAAATTTCCCTGGGTCAAGTTCCAATAAAAACATATTTGAAGCCTTAAGATCTTCCTAGTACTTATAATTTTATAAACACTTAATATTTTGTTATTATGTTAAACTTATTCAAAAAGGTTTTTTGTTTATTGTTGATATGACTGACTTTCTTAAAGCACCATCACTGTTGCAAACTGCTAATTAATATGTGTACAATGATAATAGTCAAGATTGCTGCGCATTTTAATAAAGATATCACGAACTGAGGGTTTTTATCAAGCTTCTATAAATATTAAAAGGTGTAGGGTGTTTTTCTTCTTAGCACAAAGATATTATAATAATTAGAGCTTTCTTACAAAAATATTGTTTTATTACGGGGAATTTAATGTTATTTTATGACTTACTTTTAAAACATTTAATTTTTATCTACGTTATTGGAATAATCATCAAGTACACTTCGATTTCTCGAACATATATTTATATTTATTGTTTTATTATTATTTATTTTATTATGATTTTACTCCCTACATTCCAAGTGGCAAATACTTACCCACTTCCCATATCTGTGTCAACCAGCGAACCATATGCGTCACTGAAACCCATCCAGTAATCGAATATGGATGTTTATCCCATTTAAGCGAACAAATCGACTTCCCCCATTTGTTTTCCGCCCAAATCCAGGTTGCGGCTGCCACATCCGTGGAGGCACAGATCTTGGCTGGTAATGTCGCCCAATTGCGCAACCAACGGATCCGTGTCTCAATATTAAGTTCACTATTGCAACATCCGTGCGGTAGCAAAGCAAAGGGGCACCAATGGCAATCGACACCAATCGGATTGCAGCGGATCGACTTGCGGATTTCGAGGTCATTGTGCAGACTGGGTTGTGGGTGGATGATGGCTGGAAGTTGGGTGGCGCCTCGAGTTACCCGCAGGTGGTATAAAACACCCATCGAGGTGTCACTGCAGCATCAGTTCCACAAGAGCAATCAGAAGAAGAGGATGATGCACTGCTTCACTTGGACGATTCTGGCTGGCCTCTTGGCCCTAAGCTCCTCCGCCGGATTGCCTCAGAGGCCGAGCAGTGGCTACCAGGAGCAGGATACGGCCAGAGCCTTCTACTCCTACGGCTATAGTGATGATAATGCCGCCAGGGCTGAGTACTCCTCCCGAGATGGCACCTCGCGGGGCTTCTACTCCTACGTGGATGCCGAGGGTAAACTCCAGACGGTTCGCTATGAGGCCGATGGCATTCAGGGTTTCAAGGCCGAGGCGAGTAACCAACCCCAAGCTCCCGTGGACGAGGGAAAGGCTCCGTTGCCAGTGAGCGATACGGAGGAAGTGCAGCAGGCTCGCCTATCACATCTGAATGCTCTCAGGGAGGCCAGGGAGAAGGCTTTGGCCGCCAGCTTACGTGAAGAAGCGGACCGAAGGCAGCAGGCACAGGAACAGCAACAGAGCAGGAACAACAACAACAGCGAGGATCAGCAGTCTGGGGAGCAAAGTCTAACCGATGAGGACGCAGCGATCCTGGAGAGAGTTCGAGCCGAGCTTTCAGCCATGCTGGCCGATCGTCAGCGATCGAGCAATCTGCCCAGGAACAGGGAAGATCAGGAAATCCGACGGGAACAGAAACAGAGGCAGGATCAGCGAGAAGATCGCCGACAAGATCAGCGAGAAGATCGACGACAAGATCAGCGAGAGGATCGACGACAAGACCAGCGAGAAGAACGAAGACAAGATCAGCGAGAGGATCGACGACCAGATCAACGAGAAGATCGACGACCAGATCAGCGAGAAGATCGACGACCAGATCAGCGAGAAGATCGTCGGCAAGATCAGCGAGAAGATCGACGACCAGATCAGCGAGAGGATCGACGACAAGACCAGCGAGAGGATCGGCGACAGGACCAGGATCAAGAGTCCCGGCAAGATCAGAGTCAAAACGAACGTCAGGATCAGTCGTCCCGCAACCAAGAAGCTCTCCGAGATTTGAACAACAATCGCCAACTTCCGATCTCTTCCGATCGCGAGGCCGATGATCTGCGCCTGCGCACCATCTACTCCTTGGCCGATCTCAGCTCCAGCAGCTATCTGAAGCTCGGCGACTTGGCCAGTGCCGAGAAACTGCTCGAGGATCGTTTGGACAACAGTGATCTCCGGGTGCCAATCGGTGCCTACTACACCCTGGTCTCACCGAACACCAAATACAGTGTGACCACGCCCACGGAGCTGAGAACCCTGCGTCCAGTTGCCCTCAGTCGCAGTTTGTTGGTCAGCAAACGCAATTGAAGAACTGACTTAAAGGATCGTGTTGATGGATCAAAGCCGGCTAATGATCGCGAAGGATAATGAGGTGTAACTATGATGTGTTTCCTAAGAATAAATGCAAGACAGAGCACCATTGTGCCAAATTCAATTTTGAGTTTCTATAATCTAGTTAAGTCAAGTGGGAGGTAGTTGTTTTGGTGATTCTTAGAAGAATTTGATATCAGGTCTTTAAAGGCCTTTGATAAGATTTGATTATTTATTTTTGGACTTTTTACTCTTTTTCAAAAAATATTATGAGTTTGGAGGTACTTAGAAGATCTTAAAACATTAATATTGTAAAATTTTTAAATCAGGGACTTCCAGAATCCAGATCCTAACGAAAATCAAATGGAAATATTTTTGAAATTTTTAACAAATAGGTTGAGGTAAGAGGTCAATAAATCATCCAGTAGATTAAACTACATGATAAAAATCAAACTCAGAACAGATTTAATATGTTTTTTAATTTAATTTTTAATTTCCAATTTGCATCATTTATTGCTCAACAATTAACAGAATTTCTGAGGAGTCAATTCCCAGGTTTAGGCCACTGGCAGGTAATTCCTGGAGGGAACTGGGGACTGGCTCTTGGTGTGATAATTATAGACGAATCCTGTGGCGGTGGGCTGATATACATAAACCGGCTGGGAACGCACGCCGATGGGAGATGGTGGTGCTATCACCAGGACCTTCTTCTCGGCGAGCAATTGATTGCGCAGCTTCTCGGCTTCGAAACGCTTGAAGAATGCCACTTTGGCGGCCGCCACCTCGGGAGTATCCTGAACAGGCTGCGGGCCAAAGGACGAGTCGCCGGCTAACCTCAACTTGGCCTGATTGTGGGCTTCCAGATGCTGAGCCCGCAGAGCAGCCACCTCGGGGGTTTCCTTATTGGCCTGCTGGTTGGGCAGACTGGAGGTCACATGGAAGCCCTCTGCGTCGGCCACATAGTCCACCGTCTGGGTCTCGCCATTGGCGTCCACATGGGAGAAGGTGCCCCGGATTACCCCATCCAAGGTGCGGGTTTCGTGCTTGGAGTACAGTGGAGCCATGTAGCCATAGGCATACTGACCATGCTCATCCTGGGTGTGATACTGACTGATCGTATCCGAACTTGGTGGGGCTCCATACTCCAGACTAGGTGATCCGGCGGCCAAGGCGATGGTGGTGAAAATCAGGCAAAGATTGAGGAACTGCATCTTCTCAAGTGTGTTTTATAATGAATGATATTTAAGTATATTTTTTCGGGGATCTTTTTAGAGCGCTGCTAGTGTGGTGGACTAGTACTCGCTGTAGAGAACTCTGTGCTGGGATCGATTGGGGATTCTGCCTTTTATAGCCGGCGCTTCCTGCCAAAAAATTTACAATTTCGTGCGTTCTCAGGAAGGTCGTCCGGTTGGGTTTTACTTTCATATTCCACCAGCCTGGATTATTGTTCCTTTTTCCTCCTCTGCTTCCTCGCTTTTTCGTACATAAATATTTTGTCGATTTCGATTTCAACAAGTTCAGCATAAATTTGAGCACAAAAGCCGCAATTTGTTTTCATCTGCGGCAGGGGCAGCAACACGTATCGTATCGTATGGTATGGTATGTAGCGAATTGCATCGGATGTGGACATGTTCAGAGACAACCAACAACGTTCCGCAATGCCACAAAGCAAGAACTTAATCAGGCTGCTTTTCAGTGGGTCTGGATGTGCACTGAGAGAAACTAGGTTCCCCTAAAAAATGTTGAAAAATAACATAAGAAGCGGAATATAAATACCTTCTTACTAATTGAAAGTTTCTTGTTAAAAGTGAAATCAAATACATTTTGTTTCAAATTTAAATTCAAATTTTAAACAAATAAAAAATATTTATATTTCCTATAACGTCTTTAAAATAAAAACAAATACAACAATTTTACAAAAAATAAACAACAAATTTTTAAAAAGGTACATAATTAAACTTTATAAAATTAATTTTGCTATTTGTTTCTCTCAGTGTGAGCCTGGGATCGTCGAGGAGGGGTCAAGGAACCGGGTTGGGCTTTTCGATACGCCGGCTACCTTTTCCAGTTTCAGTTATTTCGGTTGTTGCCTCTGCGCTTGTTTATGCCGCTATTAAATTTAATTGAAATCAAAATTCGCCTTACATTTATGAAGAGTTTATGCTGTACATATGGTATGTGATGGGTTTGACTGGGGCCAAAAGGTTGAGGTAGGACAGGATCCGAGTGAGCGGGTTCCGGTCCTCGGGTTTAGCTGTCAAGGGGTTAAACTCAACCGGATTTTTATCTTCATGTTAAAGCAACTTAATGGAAATTATCTTTAAAACCAGATCCTAATAAGTTTAACAATATGATTGAGTTTAGGCAGAACTTGTGATAATTTTGTTAGTCATAGAACGTTATAAATATTTTAAGATTCAATTTACTGGAAATTCGTTAATAAAATACCTTTAAACGAACTCGAAAAGAATCAACTATTTTTGGCTGATCTACCACTAATACCAATAATTTTAGAGCGATCTCATATTAATCCTTATAGCTTGGAATAAGTTTAACATTATGCAAATTGAGTTTTGGCACAGAACTTGGCGTGATAATTTGTGTTATCATAACGTTATAAATATTTTAAAATTCGATACGAAATTCGTTAATAAAATTCCATTAAAAACTCAAAGAAGACTGATTGAAAATTTTTATTTTAAATTCGAAACTCTTTATTGATGAACCAAATAGGTCGAGGGAACCGTCCCCCCTTCAGTAGTAGAAACCAGGGGTGTAGTACCGGGGAATAGTGTACCCGTAGACAGGAGCTGGAACGACCACATGGTGGCTGCGGGCCACTGAAACCGGGATCTTGGCCAGCACCTGGTTGCGCACCGCTTCATCCTCGACGCGTTTTAGGTGAAGAGATTTGGCGGCAGCCACTTCCACGGTATCAGTCACCGGATGAGGCAGTTGGGGGTGGACACCATGTGAACCGACAATGGGATGCTCATGATGCTCCACCGGATGGTGTCCCTCTGGCTGGTTGGCACTTCGGCCGCTCTCCACGACAGTGGGATGATGTGGCGCCTCGACGGGATGATGGCCAACAGGATGGGGAGCAACAGGATGAGATCCGACCGCGGGATGCTCGACGGGATGTTGAACCGGATGCGAGGCGCTCCTGGGACCAAATCCAAGGGACTCCTGGGGAACTACGGCCTTGGGCAGATTGGTGGCTGCCACATGGAAGCCATCGGCATCGGCCAAATATTTAACCGTTTGCAATTTTCCCGTCGCATCCTGGTAGCTATAGCTGCCCTGGGTGATTCCGTCCAGGGTGTGGGTCTCCTGCTTGCTGGACAGAGGTTCCGAGTAGCCATACGAGTACTGGCCCAACTGATCCTTGGCGATATACTGCCGCTGGGTGGGCGTAAACACGGCGGATCCCTCGGCGGTGTACACATACGGGTAGTAGAGGGCCAGGCCGTGAGCCAAACTCAGGCTTCCTAATAGCAGAAGGGGATACTTCATGGTTGATTCCTTCAGGTGAGTCTTGTTCTTTAGTTCACTGGTAACTGTTGGTTCTGAGCTTCAGCCTTCATCCTTTTATACCCAGCAGGTTCTTGTGCGAGTTCTAGTTCTGGTTTCGTCTGAGGTTCTTGGCGTCCAACTCCTGCTGAAGAATAGTAATTCTTGTGCACTCAGAAAAATTTACAGAACAAGACAAAAGATTGAACAAATACCAAAGGAATGAAAATGTGATCCAGTTTATCCAGCTCAGTTCAGGGAATATCTTCATTAATTTAGTTTTGTGTGGGGTAATATTAAAAACTTCTAAAATGAAGAAGCCAAATAAAAAGAATTTAAATGGAAGAATTTTATTAGTTTAAAAGTCATTATACAACATAATGTTATTAATAAAAATTTAAAAAAAATATTTTTAAAATTGTATTTTCTTAAGAGGAAATTTTTAAAAGACAAATATATTTTCTAATTAATAAATAGTCATAATTAAAAATTTTCTTTGAATTTCCAATTATAATAGTACTTAACAAAATATTTTTTTATTAATTAACACAAAATATTTTTCATCACAGATGATGGGATTGTTTAACGAATTATAACCAAACTTAAAAATTACCCACAAATATTAACAATAATAAATTTGATTAACTTTTCTCCAAATGTATCCATCAGATGCACTTCAATGCAAACGAGGCGATCGCGTTGTCTTGTCCACTTGTGTCGTTAACGGACATTGCGGCTCCGCCTTTCACTCCCCCTTTTTGGGATCGCCTCCTCGTGAAGGCGGTGTCAATTTGGTTTAATTGTGGCCAAGGCTGGAGTGGGCCCAAATGGAGGAGCAATCGCTGCCTGGCATCTCCATCGCCATCTCCATAGCCATCTGCATCTGCAACCGAATCAAGGGCCTTGGCTGGGTGGACCATCAAGGCCAAAGACCGCATCCAGCCCAGCGTGTAATTGATATGCAATTGTTGTTGCTGCCACGGCATTGTGGCATCTCAGCCTCCCTTGCTGTCCGAGCGATGCAACGGGGCCATGCCAGCAACGACAACAAATGTGGCAACAACCGATGCAACCGACGACGACAGCAACGGCATCTCAAGGTGAGTGAAGGCCAAGGGCCACATTTGGCCACAACTTGGACACCAGAGTCATGCAGCTCAGGGGCGGACTCAAAAGGGGGTTTACGCGGAATTCAATTTCATAAAAAATAATGCCTGATATTCTCAGATGTACAAACATTTTAACACATTACTAAAAAATATCTTTTAACTTTTTAAAGTAAATGTTAAAATTAAAAAAAAATCCAGAAGTACCTACAAAAAAGGTTCGATATGAAACGTAGATCGATTTTACAGTATTTAAAATCAATTTTAATTTGATATATTTCATACAAAAACGATATGGGTTTTGCATGACCTGAAGTTTACACGGCCATATCGATTTAACGGGAACATGCCTTTTTTGTGTTTAAATATATACCAAAATGTTTATTCTTTTTTTTATACCCGTTACTCGTAGAGTAAATAGGGTAAACGTAGATTCGAAAATATTTTACATCTAGAAGGAAGCGTTTAAGATCCCATAAAGTTTATATATTCTTGATCAGGGTAACTAGCCACGATCTAGCCATGTCCGTCTATCCGTCTTTCCGTCTGTCCGCTGTCCGTCTGTAAAAACGCTGAGTATCTCATGAAACTACAAAAGCTAGAAGGTTGAGATTTCCCACACATATTCTTTGGCTTCCTACGCAGCGCAAGTTTATTTTAGCCGAGCGCCACGCCCCCTAACGCCCACAATCGCCCACTAACGATTTTAAAATGGGTCCTGCGCCCACATCTTTAAAGATTTCCGAGAAGTATAAATGCAATTTTGTTGTGTATATTTATACCTATCGAAATGTAGAAGACATTTTCAAATTGGACCATTCATTAAAAAGTTATACGCTTTATAAATTGTCAACATATATCTATCTCCCTCGCACTCCCTTTAGCTGAGTTACGATTATTAGTCGGGACACCAACCCGACTATAGCGTTCTCTCTTGTTATAAATAATACCTACTACATTAGAATATTAACAGATTTCATATGTTGAGGACTAGTTATGAAGTTTTATTAATAGAGGATTGAACTCAGTACTGTAGAATGACCCCCTAAAAATAAGCTTTGCATACACCCATGTAACTTCTGCAGCTGCATTGGCATCTCTTGCTCCTCCTTCGCTGGGGTTTTATTTTTAGCATCGGCTTTATCGGATGCCGCAGATCTCTGGTGCTTAAACTTCGCTCCCGATTAGGAGGAGGAGCAGCTGCAAGAACCGCATTGGCCTTGACGGGCCCGGCTGATAAGTGCGTTTTAATGTTAGCCCCGTTGGCACTTAGTTTCAATCAAAGCCCAATTCTCGCCATTCCTGCCAGCCTTAATGATCTCGTTAGTTCTGCTCCGGAATTGAAGTTGAATTGGCAATCTGGTCCGGTTTACCTGGTGCCATTCCTCCCGGCGTGGGCTGTGCACTGATTTGTGAACCATCATCGGGTCTTTGGACTGCCTCTCACTTCGTGGCTAATTAGAGGTGCACTAAAGATAGGCCAGGTGGCAAGACTCTTGTTCGTATTTATCAGACCTCGCCGGACTCTGTTTTACTGCCCTTGAAGAAGAGTTTAATTCAAATGGGGCTACAATTTATTGGATTTAGTTTTTATTTTAAAATACATTTAAAATGACTTATATATATTACACATAAAGAATTTTATTTGCATTTGCATTATAGTCGAAATTAATAATATACATTTAATAGGATAAACTACTTTTAATGAATTTTTCATTTTGGTATATATTTTCCAGAATTAATAACACATATTTAAAAACATTTTCTATAATGATTTTTTAATTTTTATTTAAAACAATCGAAAATGTTGTTTAATAAATAGGTATATTTTTATATATTTAATTTTATTTAATGAAAACCTAATTAAGTTTCCTCAGGGTATTCAAGCTCCAAGAGAGGTTTTTGTTTACTTCGAATTTTGTTTTTGGGCCAGGGCTATGACTTCATCGTGCTGGCCACAAAACTAACCAAATAATTCTGACAGTCAGTTCCCATAAATCAATGTCAAACGTTTTTTTCTTTTTCGTTTAGGGTTTGTTTTGGGTTTTGGGCCGGGGCTTGTTTTTTTTCGGATTGTGTTTAATCATTTTATTGTGTGCGAAGCAATTTCCTTATGATTTCCTCTTGACTTTTACTTTTTCCTGATTGCCCAAAAACAGAGGAGTTCAAAGAACCCATTTACCGTGTAAGGCGATCAACAAATCTTAATCGCTTCAAATAGTCGAAACAAAACCTCATTTGCATACTTGAGCATGAGCTCACTGGTTAGTATAGCCCTAGTCACACCCCCGAAAAACACCTCCAAGTAAACCCCACTCCTTCAAAAGACCCCCTCATTATTCCAATTGTCTGGCACTTGTTGTGCGTGTTTTTGTCAAAAATTTCACGCATCGTTCTCTGCTTTTAACAGCGGACACATACAAATTGACGGTTTTACTAGCTCAGACTATACAGCCCACCCCTCTCACTTTTACAATATAAATTCAGGAGCTTTAAGCTTTTTCTCTAGAATAACACTCACAACAAACCAAATTCCGAGTGGAACTTGTTGGTTTGATAAGACTTTGGGGCCTAACGTCACTTTATTCTGAGTTGTTTTTGGGTCTCGTTTATTTTATTTTTTTGATAAATGGCTTTGTCGTGTGGCTTTCTCTGTTAGTTTTGGTGTATAAAATTTTGCGAAATGAAGTCATCGCTTGAAAAAAATTTTAGGGGTCAGTATAAGTGTGTATAAAATCCAATCTTTTTCTTTATCTCATTCAGAAAGTTAGGAATTTATGTTTGCTCATGGTTTGTTTTGCCATCTTTCGTTTTGATAAAATGTTGTAGAGGATTTTCTAGACTTTGTTGTTTCTATTTCACTCGAACGAAAGCTCACTCAAAACAAAAATATCACTCATACGCCGCTTGGGCCTTTGCTAGCCAGTGGCTGCGCATTTGTCCAAACAGTTGAGTTTCGACATTGCCAGCATTCGCGCGTTTGCCTTAAAGTAGTTGGAAAATATCCAAGGAATAAGACAAAAAATTTTTTTGGAAATTTATTCAAGAGTTTTGGTACATTTTTAAAAGCAAATGTAAGTGGAAAATAAAAAGAAATTAACAAAAATTCAGTTTTTAAGGATCTTAGTAAAATGTTGGGGTATCCTGGACCTTCAAAGAGACGAGAGACCAAGGTTTTTTCTATTATTAAAATAGAAGGCTGTTAAGAATTTCAAGAGCAGATTTTGACCCAGTTACCCCCAATCGCGTTCCCCTTTTCTATTGTTCCTGTGGCATCATTGTTTTCAATTTCCGTTCGGGGCTCTTGTTTTAGGCGCAGTTTCCCCGCTTCCGTGTGTATATATGCGTGCGTTTAAATCATCAGTCTGAAATTCAAGAACCCCAAGCCCCCAGAAACCCCTTCTCCCAACTGGCGCTTGCGCGTTTCCCAGCTCCCAGTGATGTCATCTGGGCTAGTGGTGATGTAGGAATATATTACATACATATATTATGCCTAGAGCATAAGTCCCCTAAGTCAATGATTTCTCTATTGCGTTGCGTGTTGTATCAGAATCAGAATCACCTTTCCCCTTTGCTTCCTGTTTTTCAACCCCCCACTCCCCCAAAAAATTCATTTTAATTTATGCATTCAGTCCGAGGCGCTAATATTTCAGAATGTTTATATACACACGTAAACTCAATTCTGGTGCAGTATTTCATGTTTCTCCCCCAGTCGTTTCATTTTATATTTATACATCGAGATGACCCAAATTTCCCTTCATCATCCATTTGTGCTCCAGTCCACTTGAGGTAGGTTGGGTTAATAATTGTCCTCTCCAGGAAGTCCATTCTTTTCCACAAATGGCTATCTATAACCCATTCATATTCCTATTCAAATTCTGACCATAAATATTACCA